GTCAGATTTTTGATCGCTGCAACCAAGAGATATGACAAGAACAATTAGAGGAGGAAAAAATTATTGGGGACTCATGGTTTCAGAGGTCTCAGTCCACAGACAGCTGACTGCATTTGTCAGGGCCTGAGATGAGGCAGATCATCATGGCAGAAGTGTGTGGCAGAGCAAAGCAGCTGGGAACATGGCACCAGGAAGTGGAGAGAGATCCCCTCAACAAGGACAAAATGTATACCCCCAAGGGTACCCAAGTACCCACCTTCTCCAGCCACACTCTATCTGCCTTCAATTGCCACTTAGTTAATCCCTGTCAGGGGATTAATACACTGATTAGGTTAAGGCTATAGCCCAATCATTTCACCTCTAAACTCTCCTGCATTTCCTCACATATGAGCTTTTGGGGATCACCTCATATCTAAACCATAACATCCTGAAAAGAGGACTTAAGGCAGCCTACAGAATTTACTCCAGCCACTGTGCACAAAACACATGAGGAAAGAAAGTAGAAAGGAACATAAAGTAGGAAAGAAAATAAAATGAAAGCAGGAGCAGGGTGGGCTCACAGCATGCCTGCATGACATGGTGTCCAGTGCAGTTGCCTGAGGTGGCCCCAGTCCAACTCTGAGAGTCTTAGCACCGGAGAAAAGAGGCAAGCTCAAGCATCCCGGAGTTGGGATTTGTGCTGTCCATCAGAAAAGAGCAAACCAGTCACTCAGGGCGGTTTTCTGGGGCCACTGAAAGCCTGCACACTTGTCCAGGAGTGGTTGGGTGGATTCTGCTTCGAAGGCTTGGGATAATACCCCTGCCATAAACACAGTGATTACTCATATTCAGCTATTCCAATGACATTGTAAAATGCCATTTTATGGCACTACAGTTCATCAAAATCACTCTTCCAAGAACTAGAGCACCCTGGTGCAGGCGCACACCTTTCTGCTGATCTAAAGTGACCCAAGAAGGGCATTACAAAAGGAAAGGAGGACCATTTCGCAGCCTTGGTGATGAACATCCATGAGGGCGATTTCTTACAACCAGGCCTTTGATAAGAATGTTAGGACTTAAGGGTTGAGGCGGTATTCTCTGGCAAGAATTTAAAGAGCAAAAATGCTGCAGGGTCAACTTGGGATAGATGTGTTACTTTTGAAGGTCCCCTGAGCAGGGAGACAGGATTAATATTTCCTCATTACAATTAACTAACCTGTTCACTTGATAGTACAGACCACAGCCTCCACCTGGAGGTATCCCAAGGGGAACATCCATGGGGAGAAATCATAATTTCCCCCAAAAAAGTCATTCTTGGTGGATACTAACTGAAGACAACAGGTGCTAAAAGATCCTACAGACCTACTCCATAGAGTAAGGCAACAGCCATTTTAACCTAAAAAAAAAATTACAGGATGGATTCTATCAATCATCCCCCAAACAGGCAAACATACTTAGAAATTTATAAGAGCCCACCAAATGGCTAATTTTAAGGGATATCCCTTTTGACAATGCCTCCAAGAAGATTTAGATGAAAATAAACTTCTTGGCCATGGAGAATCTATCAAGAGAAATTGACAGAAGGACCACTATAAATGTTATGCATCATTTGAATATAATCTAAAAATACTGTTTGAGTCTTCCCTGCCCCATTCGTTCCAGCTTAGACTCTTATTCCCTTATTTTATCTTTCTATCTTTCTTTAAGATGGCAAAGAGGTACCTTGCCAGCACTAGTTATAGGTGAATATCTTTTTAGATAAATATTCTCATGTCCTATATGTACTCATCATAAAAGGATGTTCTGGCCAGTAAGGGCTAAGGAAGGGCATAAAAAGGCAAGGACCTGGTCCCAAGCTCTGCAGGCTGTTGTTTATCTAGTGCAGTACTCAATACGGCAAACATCAGTGACATCAGCCCAGAGTGAGAAATCATGGGAGATAAAACCTGAAATGGAGACACCTTTCAACCTAGATTGTGAAGTTGGTAATATTGTGATATAAACTGTAAGTATTGATTGGATGAAAAGTGCCACAAAAAATGTAAGGGGATACTCACATCCTCTGGGGCCCCAAGTTTCTTAACTCTGTTCAGTTCAACAAACCTTGATGTATAGCCAAGCCCTGTGCGAGAGAGGTGGAGGGTTAAGAGAGAATCAAGCATGAGCCTTGTCCTCAAGGAGCTGCTTCAAACAAGAGTCATTGGAGCTCTGTAACAGTGCCTGCTTGGAGCCCTGGTCTTTCTTTGACATGTTTTGATATGTCCCCTCAAAATCCCCATGCCCAGGAGGAGAGAGAGCAAACATCTTTCCAGGAAAGACACCAACATTGAGACACAGCAGCTGGAAATTGGCAGGGTGCCCTTAGAAGACTGAGGAAGTAATTTATTTTTCCAGCTTCGCCACAAGAACTGAAGCCTGGGCATATGCCTCCATGTGTCAGCAGTGGCTGATCGGAGTGAGATCATTCTTAATTATTAGTCACTTTTGAGTGTCTTCCTCCAAAACTGTGGAGTACTTGGGAAGGCAGACCCTCTTGAGTTGGAATCAATACTGTATACACCTTGCTCAGGAACCTGCCTGGCGTGTAATTATAAAGCAGTATTGATTCCTGGCAGAGGGGTTGAAAATGTACAAATTCTTCACACACACACAAAAAAAGGCTAAATCTTCAGAAGGCTTAATTTTTCTCCCTCAAGAAAGAGACCAATGGTTGGAGTTCAAAAAAAAAAAAACACAAAACTTGAAATATTAGATAAATTAGGGCTATTTCCTGCCAGGAGACAGATCTGTACACATAATTATTTTATTCTCTGGGCTGGCACTGATTCACTTCTGTTGAGTGTTGGAAACGTCTCTGTTTTGGGTCTGTAATCCAAATTATTCAGTCGGTTCCTATGATGATGTTTTCTCCGCGTGTCCTCCAGTGTTGTTTTTCTATAAAACAAATAATTGCTTTTCTGGTACCAATGAGTTCCTGCTTTTCCTGCTCTTCTTTGTCATACCATCTAGTATGCCCCATGGCCAGGAGCTCCACCCTCTCAAACATGCCCGTCATCACCAAATTCTGCCCATTTTATTTTGGCTGGTTTCTGATTTCTGCTTCTCAGTTGGCATCCACTGCAGTCCTATTCGAGTGACTGGAATCTGGATAGGTTTCAGTCTTCCTTCCTTTTGGCCGCATCTCCAAAGGCGGTGAACACCCTCACAGCCTGCCTTTGCTACCTCCTCCATGCCCCGTCACCTCCTTCCTCACCCAGAGAAAGTCTTCATACTGCCTTTCCTCTTCCAGCCTGGCCCCTTCCATGGCTGTTGGGGCCGTTTTGAAAATGCACATCTGATCGTGTCATTTGGCTGCAGCAAGCCCTCACTCCAGTGGCTCCCTGTTACCTGTAATCTAAGATGGACAACTGCTCACCAATCTGGAAATGATAGATGTTGACTCTCAAATGATGCAGCTTACCTCCCAAGACCCAGAGGTTCCCGGAAGATGGTGCATATGGAGGACTGCAGTAGGGGCTACAGTGGGAAAGTTGCTTTGGGGGCTTTTCTTGGCATTTTGAGTATCTGTGGTTGGTTTAGCTGGGGCTTCGACAGTGAGCTTTTGCTCAAGGCTCCTTCTCTGGTTGTGCAGAGCTGGCTTGTCAGTGTGAGACGGTTATGATCCACTCTGTTCCAGGAACCTCATGCCTCCATAGCCACGCGGTAGAGGGTCCTTGAGAATCTCTCAAGGGAGTGGACCCCCCCTGGTCTGTTCCTTCTGAACCTTGTATTTAAAGGACAAATCTCAGTGCCAGTACAGCGATCTGACACAAAAGGCCTGCAGCCTTTCTCAGATGGGTGCTGAGGACACGTGGTATGGGGAAACACTTGGTTTTGTGTGACAGTCCTATGCACTGCAACATTTTTGGCATTTCTGGCCCCTCATAGTAAATGCCAATCATGTTCCTCAGTTACTGAGACAACTTGAAAAAAACCCTCTCCCGTGCCCCCACAGTTCTGCGTGACCAGAGATGGGTAACGGTACCACCCCCACTTGAGAACCATCAGCTCCTGTAACCACTTGGCTTCATTTGAACTTCCCCTAAAATGTTCTCTTTTCTGAGAATACAATTAATGGCCAGATCTTTCTGTCACTCCTCTTTTCCCTTTATCTGATACAATGATAAGAGCTGAGATGCTGGTGACACATTGCTGACTTTGAAATCAAGCTCCACTATTTAAGGGCCATGACCTTGAACAAGGGCATGACCTTGAACAATTACTTAATCTCCCTGTTCCTCAGTTTTCCCCTATAAAATGGGGATAATAGTATAATATTTAGCTCCAAAGACCTGTGAAGATTAAATAAAGCATGTAAGGGACAGTGGGTTCACTGTCCAGCATCAGGGGCTCGGTAGTGGTTTGAGTTAATGACTGTCAGTGATCATGATGATGTCCCTGAGCATAAGGTCTTACTGGGACGGAAGTAGAAGTTGATGCTTACAAAGGAATAATTCTGAAAACAGGCAGCTTGGTATATGAGAAAGAGTTTAGCCTGGGTGGGACTTAGTAAGTTCTGTTCCCCTTAGCCACTAGTGTTACTAGTAACTGTATAGTCTTGAATGTGCCCTTCTCTCCTGTGGTTCTTAGATTCTCTATAAAATATTTCTGTTTTGTGGTGTCAAAAAGATCAAATGACACAGCGCTGTAGAAAATCCTGTGAATAGTTTGATGAAAGGTAATAAGCAGCTGTCAAGTCTTGGCCTTTCCTAGCCCTGATTTGAAAACCCCACCCACCCCTGGGAAAGCACATAACAGGAACTCCTTGGTGAGAGTCCTCTCTCATGGTAAATGGCAGGTGTTCTGCATGACCCCCTCTCTGCCCTGTGCCCCCAGTAGCACAGGACACACAGAGCCTTGGAGCAGTCGGCCTCTCTCCCTAGTTGCTCATGTCCATGTCCAGTAGGTTTCTTACAGCACACCCCTGCCCCGGCCCAGCTTGTGTCCACTGACATCATGGTTGTCTGCTTGTGGCCCCACAGCAACAAAGGCGAGAGAAGGAACTGAGGAAGCAGCAGGAGAGGGAGCAGCGCCGGCACTACGAAGAGCAGATGCGCCGGGAGGAGGAGAGGAGGCGGGCGGAACATGAGCAGGTAACGTGCAGCAGGATGGGAGTCCATGCTTGGTCCCCATGTGACCACCGCGTGTCTGCCATGTTGTGGGTCACCTTCTCCTGGACTCTCGGTTGAGGTTTTTATTCTTTCTCCAGCAACTGTTCTCACCTATTCAAAAAGTCAAAAGCACAGCCTTGGCAATGGCCATTGGTTCAATCTTGCTCCCTACCCAGGCCAGAGTCCCCTGACATGCCTGGGTCTTCAGATTCACAGCCCTGGGGGTCTGATGAGAAGGTAGCACTGAAGCATGAAAAACAAACCAAGCCCTACTCCTCCAGTGCTTTAGGGGAGGTTTTCCTCTCTTGTACTCCTTGTGCATTGATTCAGACTCCTCTCTTTGCTAGATTCGTATTCTGATAGCAAGTGAGCCTGCAGGAGGATTCCATTGCAAAGACGGTGCATGATGGCATTTCACAATTGTTTTACACCTGCTGCTTGCACAAGAGCCTTAGAACTTTATAGCATTGTTAATTCTGGGTACTCCGTAAAGAGAGGAACCTGGAATGGAAAGCTTTTAAAATGTAACTGTGGGTTTATTAAAACCAAGTAGTAACAGTAAAATGCCAAGCTATCTCAGTCAGCTGTTGCAGGCAGAGGGCTGGTGCTTCTGACTATGTTGAAAGGCTTTGGCTTTGGCTTGGCAAACTCTTCCTGTTTGATAAGGGTGTTGGGTATTTTTTCCCCTCCTTTTTTTCTGTACTTTTCTTGCAGCACTTGTCACCTTTGAAATTACTGGTTCTTTTTCTCTCTCTTTCTTTCTTTCTCTTCCTCCGAATTCTCTGCTGCCTACCTCTCCAGGAATACATCAGGCGACAGTTAGAGGAGGAGCAAAGACAGTTAGAGATCTTGCAGCAGCAGCTACTGCATGAACAAGCTCTACTTCTGGTAATGGGAAAGCCTCGAGCCAGCTGTCCTGCTCTGTGTCCATTGTGTGTGTGTGTGTTTGTGTGTGTGTGTGTGTGTGTGTGTGTGTGTGTGTCTGTGCAGTTCCAAAGAAGGTGCTGGGCATGGTGACACATGTCTATAATCCCAGCTCCTTGGGAGGTCAAGGCAGGAGGATTGCAAGTTTGAAGCCAATCTCAGCAACTTAGCAGGCACAGACTCAAAAAGGGCCAGGGATATAGTTCAGTGGTAAAGCACCCCAGTATCCTACCAATAAAAGGAGGGGGGCAGTTCTCCAAGCCTTGAAGACCGGAAAATCTCATAGAAACTTAATGCATTTCCTGACCCAATTTGCCAAGGCCTAATACTTTTAATACAATTGTTATGCATTCTTTATTAAATCCATCTATTTGTGAAACTCTAACATGAATCCAGCCTTATTATAAGTTCAGACTGCTTTTGAGACCCACTGTGTTTATTGCAGAGTAATTTTTGAGACCGTTTGCACCATGCTGGAATACAATCACAGCAAAATGCACCTTTTCCATAAGAACCCACTCTGCTCTGCAGTCATATTTCATTTGCAGACTATTAGTTTTACCCTTATGATGGGAACATTTTGTGTTCCCTGCTCATGCGGCGTCCACTTGAAGTACTTTTTTTTATTATTATTGCATTGCTCTCCAAATGGGCTGCTTGGTGTATTTTTTTTTAACTGAACTGATATTTTTTAGCCTGTACTTAAGCTTGCTAATGACTTTTGTTCGTCTAAGTTTTATTAAACAAAAGATGATTTAGGTTTATTTTTAGTTCTGTACTTAACTATGCATGTTTGAATGATTTAATTACTAAATTAGGAAGTGGTTGGCTACTTATGGAGGTTGTGTGCTGACCATCCAACTGTCCTTGTTACTGCCATTTTCTCAGTTGCAATTCATCAGGGACAAGTCACGAGTGTTGTGGTAGTTTGTAGGATTGCCACTAAAATGACAGTCTTCTCCTTAAATGACACATTCTTGTGGATACTAACCCAAAACTGGAGTTTATTTCTGTGCATACCTGACATCCTCCTGTATTTCTATTAATGTGTAAGGTCCTTTGTTGCTTAGATTTTTGCATCACTGCATGTTTCGTCACTACTGCCCAGTGGTTTTTCCTGGGATGATTTGGCCTTTTTTTTTTTTTTAACTCATCTTTCCTGGTCTGGGCAGGAGTATAAGCGCAAACAATTGGAAGAACAGAGACAAGCAGAAAGACTGCAAAGACAGCTTAAGCAAGAGAGAGACTACTTGGTTTCTCTTCAGCATCAGCGTCAGGAGCAGAGACCCATAGAGAAGAAGCCACTGTACCACTACAAAGAAGGGATGAGCCCCAGTGAGAAGCCAGCGTGGGCCAAGGAGGTAAGTAAGCAGGGGTAGACATGCCCTGCCAGCCAGGCTTTCCCCTGCACGAGTGCATCCCTCAGAAGTGCAGAGTCCACTCCATGCCATAGTTGGAAGACAGCTCATCACAGGACACAATTTTTGCCACTGGAAGAACCACAACATCCTTTCTGTAGAGAAATAGCCAGGCATCTTACTCTGCTGTGGTTCTATTTTGTGTGTGTGTCTTTGTGGTCATAGTGGGGTTTTGTAAGTAAAACAGGAAGTAGAAATATACTTTTCCTTATATGAGTCCAGCTGAAGTTATGGCAGAAGGAATTCTTTTTTCACTGACTTCTCCTTGGAAGAGTGGGATTAGGGCTTGGGAGATTGTGGGCAAACTCATTTACTGTCCGTACCTGGAGCCTGGACAACACGTGGGTATTGTCATTAATACTACCCTGTTCATTGTGCACCAGCGGGTGCACAGTGGAACTCAGTAGTGACCAGAGGTCACTCATAGTTATCCAGTAGTTCCAAAGTAATGGTCCTGAATTTGCTCCACGACTAGAGTAAGGGAGGGTTTTTAGCAACTTAGTTCTGTGATGAGCTGGTTTAAAAATGTGATTAAAAAAAAAAACTATTTGGATCAGAGAGGGAAAAAAAGGTGATAACAAAATGGATAAAGGAAACAAACAAAATACTAGCTCTAGCTAAGATCAAGCCACTGCTCAGGGAGCCACTGTGTCTGCTCCTGTACATGACACCCTGGTTTTCAGTTGTCATTACTTGTGGCACCTAGTGACTTCCTTTATTTTCTTGTGAGCATAGCTTGTCACTTAAAAGGATGTTTTGGGTTACGTTGTATTTTTATCTAACTTCTTTAGATATTTATAGCTAGAATTTTTTTTTCAAATTATCTAGACAACAATATTACCCGAACTAGATTTCTTATATAAGATCCTGTTTTTATAAAAAACAGTTCTTTTTGTTTTTCTAACCTATTTTACCTGTATACAGGAAGTGCTGAAAATGATACCTTGATGTTAATTATGGTGGTTAATGGAAGGTGGAAATTTTTTTAAAAACTGAATTTTTCTTTAAAACTTTTTTGTGGTTCCATATCTTCTTAAAATCCTTCATGATTATCATGCATTATTACAAAATAACTTTTATCTTTAAAATCTTTAAAAAATTAAGTCCATACAGAAGGTTAGTTTTGACGAGGGGAAGTACATTTTTCATCGCTTTCCTTTAACATTTGTAAACATGATCCATATTTACCTCTGTCTGTAACAGCTACTCTTTCTCTTAGATCAGTAACTCAGTTTTGTAATCCTACTCCCAGGTACAGCAGCGACCCCTTAATAATCCACCTGTTCTTCCAGCTAAGCAGAATCACTATGCTGCTAAACAGCAGCTGACACACTTCCTGGCTGGCAGAGGTGCGCCATCTTCCTCCACTGCCAAACCACTTTCTAGCCATGCCAAGTCAAAAGCTCCAGCTAGACCAGACTCACAGAGCCTGGCTGTGGCAGGTATTCAGAAAGCTGAAAAACTGACCTCCACAAAGTTAATGCCAGTAGCATCCACAGGAATTCACGATTCCAGATCAAGACTCCTGTTTCAGCATCGCTCATGGAAGAAAGATGGATCAGCAGCTTGCCCTATTAGACGTGGTTTGGAAGAACAGCTGAAACCTCAGGAAACCTCAAGGACTGGAGTGAGATGGCCAAAGCAATCTTGCTCCCAAGGATGTAGCCCAACTCAAGATTTAGAGTCTAAGGTCATTTCTGTGTCCTCTCCTAACATCTCCAAAGTGACAAGTCCCCAGCTGCCCATTAGGGCAATTAAGGAGGGCCTTAGACACTGCCATGGACCTCAGGGCAGGAGGGGCATGAATTCCTGTGTCTTTACTAGCACCTCTACTCTCCTAAGAAATGCTGCATCACTAAATGACCTCTCCTTGATGCATGACCACCAGGCCTTCAGTGTTCCCAGCTCTAAGCATGACTTTAGAAAACAGACACCCACAGATTCCATCCAAGAGGACTGTGATTCCTTGCAAAGCATCCCAGAATTCTTTCTTTCCCCTAGGCAGCTCCCTCATGCACAAATGCACCAGAAAAGATGGGACACCGTGGAGCAGTTTCCATTTCCTCCCTTCGGCCTCTACCCAGCCTGTTCTGATTTGAACTTGACCACTTTAGCTTCATTGTTTTCTGGGTGCTATTTGTCCTCATCATTAAACTTCCTGGCCTGTCCTCTCTATTTGGAACAAGTTCGCAGTTCCCAAGCTTTCAGGAACCCTGGCATCCCTGGGGACAAGTTTCTGCAGATGTCATCGAGGCCATTTTCTAGACCTCCTAATTTCCCTATGCTTCCTGGCCAGGCTCCTAGCAGGAAGAGAAACCTCGCCGCTGGGCGTGCAAATGGCATGGCTGTGTCATCAAGCACTCCTAATGTGAGGGTCCTTGGCCAGCTTAAGTCTGGGCCACCTCTGGTGGGTGACATCTTCCAAGGTTCCTGGCTTCCCAGCCCCCTGGTGTTCCTCCTTTGGGCTTCATGCACTTCCAGACACATGTGGGGGATCCTTTGGGAATTTCACATTTAGTCCTCTCCTCCTGGGTGTGGTTAACATACTCTAGCTTCCAACTAACCCTGCATCTAGTCATCAAATTGTTCCCAAGTCTTAGAGTGGGTGATTATATTTTAGAAGAAATAAAATTATTTAAATGGTTAAATAAGTGACAGTGCTAAATTTGGGACTGAAGCAACTGGTATACAAATCAGAGCAAATAATTGCCTTCTTCGGTTTGATTCATCATTTTTTGAACACTCAACTTTGTTAAATTGGGAATAAAATGAACATAAGAATTCTTATCTTCTTGATCTTCTAATGCTTCTCATCAGCCATGTACAAACTTTTCTTCTAACACATTATTTTCAGATCTCATTTCTTATACTAGGAAGGAGAGTGGTGCTCAAAGTAGCCAAATAATAACATGCCTCAAGACTTGAAATATGAACAGAATTTATAGCTTAGTGTTTTAACTATTGCCTGAGAAGAAAACTTGGGTTAAACTCTCTGGAGAAAAAGAGAACTTTTCAAGTGCATCTTCTGTCAGGATATAAATTTGAAGACATCCTCAGCAGTGAAGAGCAGGCAGCTGTGCCCATGCCACTGTCTCCTGTGACATGGGGTCTGGACATTTTCGGCCCTTTTGCTAAGGAAGACACTACCCAGCCATCTTCTACCCACTTGCAACCTCTTCACTAATCAACTCCAGCATGTTTCCTAACTCAGCTCTGAAGCTTCTTGTTGGATATTTTTTTCATCTTTGATTACCCTTCCATCCACTTCTTCTCTTGCTCATTGTAGAGCAACCGTTTTTCATTGGTATTATAGTGTTGTCATGCTTCATCCTCTTTGTCTTCGTTCTTCATTTTGTGAAAGAGAAGTGATCATTGCATCTCATTATCTTTCCCACTTCTTACTGGATACGCTCAGAGCAAATGAAAATGCTTGATCATTTACAAATCTTGTTGTGCTCTTCCTTCCCTCCTTTTCCTGAGTATTCCATCTGTCCTGAATGTCACATTGGCTTTGCTTTTCAGATTTCAGCCAGGAAGGAAGTTGTCTCTGAATTAAAAGAATAGAGATGGTCATGCCCCCCCATCCTGCACCTGCTTTCAAAATCTGTACTATTTCTGGATTGGAATGAAAGTCAGATTTGTTCTGTGAAAACAGAAGCATGATGTTCTGTTGAACCTCAGGAAAATTTGAAGGTCTTTTTTTCTCATTTTTTGGACCTTGGGATTCCTTTTTTTTTTTTTTCTGCTGTACCTTAAAATGGCATGTGATTGTCTGGGCCTGGTAGTAACTCTGTAGCACCCCCCTTCCTTCCCCAAATACATAAAAAAAAAAATTGCCCTCACACCCAGCAGTGACAGAATGCTCTGTTTACATAGTGTTGCACGAGATAGTATTTTAATTTTTTTTTAACACTCCATCATGTTCTCTCTCCGCCATGCGTGTCAGTCATCTGGCTATAGTTTTATTTGGCGAACAATGATCTGATCAGGGCCAAGATAGCTTTTTATTTCCCATCATCCCATTGGACTTTGAAATCTCTCTATATAAAAACTTCTACACTTGGATCTCTCTGTTGTACACTGATTTTTTTTTCCATTTTTATATGAGTTACTTTATATATGAGGTTTCCAAATTATGAGAGTTTGCAGCTCTGCTTTTATTGTTCTTCAGTTTCTGCTTATGTTTCTTAAGATTTGACATAAAAGAAACCTGGACGCAAATAGTAGGGAGCGCCTTTGAGTTCATGTTCTTCCATTTCCTGGCAGTGTGGCCTGGGCAAGTCTTGGGATCTTCCTGAGATGTACTTCCTGGGCACCTCCAGCCTCACAGTTAGAAGGATCAGGGCAGTCTTGTGTGTCTGTTGACACTGAAATGGTACCAATGCAAATCAAGTATGGATTCACATTTAATTCCCAAGGCCACTGCAACCACAGGAATGTTTTGTCTTTGTTGTTTCTGATTTGGATTTCACCTGACTGATTCACATGCATCTCTATCACCTCACTCACCTCTTGCCAGTAATAGATAAGCAGATTTTATTTCCCCTGTCTCACTTTGCTAAGGACTTGCTTCACTACTTTTAAGTAATGTGCTCTATTCAAGTGGGATCTATACTTTTTCTTGGAATATTTGTTATGAGTGGATCTTAGAAAAGTCGTTCTAGCCCTTATCTTCAGACAAGATTGCATTTTAAACATTCCACAGGAATGAGAGTCTCTCCTATGCTCAGAGGTGCCCTGGAGAAGAGAGGACCCGTCTTGCCCAGTAAACATCTGCCCCGTGGTTTTGCCAGAGAACCATATGACTCACCCTTTATGTGCTGGTGAGCACAGGGTCAAAGTATCTAATGAGCACTTAGAAGTTATTTATTGACTTTTTTCCCTTTATCTAGCATTGCCAGTAAAATACAGAAAACACATTATTTTGTTCAGTAAGAGAAAAAAAAATCTCATACAATTATGCTGAATTTAGCAATTAAGTAAAACCTTCTAAGGCCTGTGTAGACCCAGTGAACCCAACATCATATAAAATATTATGAAAATGGCATAAATATATTTAACTGTCTGCATGTTTGAAACTACTTCTATCATTTTGTTTAGAAAATATCAAAAAATATTCATTATTGTGAAGTGAAACAATCTACAGACTGTTTTCAAATATACAAGACAGTTTGATAATTGATATTGGTAGAATGTTTCTCTTCTACATGTTTAAACATTTTTATTTATTTTGAAGTTGTTTTATGACTCTTGGAATCAACAAATTTACTTTTAGCTGGGCACAGTAGCGCACGCCTATAATCCCAGTGACTCTGGAGGCTGAAACAGGAGATCATGAGTTCAGAGCCAGCCTCAGCACCTTAAGGAGGCCCTAAGCAACTCAGCAAAACCCTGTCTCTAAATAAAATATGAAAAAATGGGATCGTGGGGGCTGGGGATGTGGCTCAGTAGTTAAGTGCAATGTGGCTCAGTGGTTAAGTTCAATCTCCCCCCAAAAAGTTACTTTTTGATCGTCTATATTTGTGTAGCCTTTCTGCATCTCATAGGCCTTGTCTGGCACCCCCATAATGCCCAGTGGACAGCTCAGCCCTTCCTGAAGTAGAATTGTATTTCTGAGACCAGTTTTTTATTTCTCTCTATAAGGCTGTAGTAAATAGTATAGTATTTTTGCAGAGGTAATCCAAGCCTCTTTAAAGTTATTTTAGTTTACATGGTAAAAGGATTCTTTTAATAAGAAAAAGAAATTGCTTTGATAGTGAAATTTGATCAATCTCTGCTAATCCTGTGCTCTGTGTTCACTGGTAATCCCGTCAAGGAGAAACCCTTTGTAACGGGGTTTTTGTTGTTATCATCTAGAACCTGGACACTCTTACTAGAAATCTCTTTTGGGTAATGTTCCTGATATTTTACCTCTTGGCAACAGGAGTTGCAGCAGATGCTCTGCTACTAGAATTTTCTGAGTATCCTCAGGCAGATTGAAACATATCTTGATTGTGCCCCAGTTTTTAATCACATATAAGCTTATTCTAGGCAGAGGGGACCTGTTTCTTTTTTTGTCTCTTTCTCATATCTATCTCTAATTAGTAGACATACGTTGTCATAAGAGGCCTTTTTGCCTGGTCTCAATATATTCAGAAGGACCATCTTCTAAATATACTATCCAGCTTTCCCTCTGAAGCACCATTTCCAGTGTTTGTTTTTGGTATCTTTGCTCCAATTCTTCAGGTGATCCTTTGGTGCAAGCTCTGTGCAGCATTGCCTTCCCAAACACCTTAAGACAAGATTTTTCTTGAGGTAAAATGTGTAGCCAGATGCCTTATTGTTACAGCCTTCTCATAGATTTTTCAAATTTCTTTGGACACACTCAATTCCAGGAAATTACAGCACACTGGACCCATCCTGAAATAATTTTTAAAGTATAACAAATTGTTATTTAGACCATACCTTTTAGAATGCTATGCCTGAAACATATTAATGGTAGAATTTAGTCCATAAACTAAGTGAGAGAAAGCATAGGAAATTCTACTAGAAGTACATTAGTAACATTTGCACACAACAATCAAATCCACTAACTGCCTGTGAAAATCAGCACCCAACTTTCTGCCCTGTTTGTTTTCTAGTGTAGTTTTAGACCCCCGGGTGGCCTGTGGGTCTATAAGCAGGAACACTTGTTTTACTGGAAGCTTTCTGCTGTCATTGGTTAAAGGAATTCTTTATCTCAAAAGTGATTTCTTTGCTCAAGATGGAGTCTTAGAGGCAGACTTTTCTACTGTTGCTTTTTAAAGTGCTGCGTCTTAATGTGTATTTTAAACTAAATGTATTTTACAGTTAAAAAATAATAATAATTACAAGTATCCCTCTCTCTGAATACATTTGATTTCAGAATTTGGGATAACAGGTGGGTAGAGTGCAGACAGCCAGGTGTTCATCTGATGTGTGTCTGAAATTCTTGGGTTCCTGAGCTCAGACATAAATGGTTTGTATAGTAGGAGTTCAGATGTTAAGAGAGACTTGTACCTGTCATTCATCTATTAACAATATTCCCTGGAAATAAGAAAATGGCTGATATTTGACTAATTCCAGTGGTCTAGAAATATTCGCCTTCTTTTCCAAGTGTCTGGCATTTGGAAAGCAGTATGTTAACACACCTTCGTCTCACTTTATGTATTGCTGTCTCTGTGGGATTCTTTCCTCTTTGTGGTCTTGTCTCAGGGTTGTTTTATTCTTTTGCTCGATGCAATCATCAAATAATGATTGCTGATATAATACTTGGTACGCATGCACACATGAAGTACACCAGTTCTGGTTTATATTCCTGGCTTTTTGCAGCTAATCTCATTTGGTGTGTGGTGAGTTTGTGGGACATGGAATCTCAAAACTCAAGCCAGTTGGATGCAACTGTATGTTCCCTGCACAGCCATGGTGGGAGATGAGACGTTCCACTTACCCCCCTCAGTGGGGCAGAAGGGTTCTTTCCTATTGGCTTATCTTACCATGTTTAAACATTAACAAACTTATTCTGTATATGAGACGGAGTCTGCCTCTAGAAAGATCTAAAATGGGGCAAGGGATGGGAAAGAACGCATTTTTGAAGTTTTACTTCAAATCAGGGAGTAAAATGAATAAAATGGTACAACTGTGCAGACAGAACTGAATATTGAGTCAGCAAAAGAGAACTAATTGCCCAGTCTGAGGAGTCATCAGGGAGAGGAGAAGGGCAGCATTGCCCTGGCAGGTTTGGGAAGCTGGACAATTAGCTTGACCCTGAAGAAATATAGGAGATAAAGATGGGGAAAGACAGATCTGAAAGGAAAAACTGAGGCCTCTTGAAGTTGTGTAAGATCTTACATCATGTCTCACAGTGTATGTCTAAAAATCGAAAATTTTCTTCAAGATTGTCCTCTGCGATAGTCATTCTGCCCTAAATATGTACTGTGGGGTAATTGAACCTTCCCTGTGAAGAGCCTAAGGTCTGTTCCCTGCTTTGGGCTGAAAGAGACCCTAGATGATAGGGAATGACAAGGGAATGAAGTGGCCTGAGAGGAGAGGGCTGGAGGAGAGAGAGGGGGAGTGGAAGGCAAGGACATTGCCACATGTGGAGAGCAGAGGGGAGGAGGGGAGAGCAAGGCAGGGGAGGCCATGCTGGGAATGGAAAGAATGAGGAGCAGCAGCATATTTTAGGGAGCAGGGAGGGACCATTGAAGAGAAAGAGCCCTAAAGAGAGAAAAAGAAAATGATACAGGAAGTCTGTTTAAGACAGGCGGTGCTCATTAAGGGGGCAGCCTGGAACACCCACATGCCTATCAGAAACATGTGAAGAAGTACAGGGTTCATGGACTCAACTTCACTCTCTGCCAGCCCTCCCCATGTTTCTTTCCCTCCTTGTCCCATGAGTCAACCCAACCCAAGTTTCTATTTTCTCCCAAGCAATCTTAATGCCTAGTACAGTTCCCTTTGATCATCTAGGGTGCAGACTGTCTCCCTGGCTAACCCCATGGCTTTGTGACCAACCTGCAAGATATTATTCCAATCAATGTAAAATAAGCTCTTAGTAGGCTCAGCTAACTGTAATAATACAAGGTAACGGGTAATGGCTCAGAGTTCTGCATTTTTTTGTTTTTTGTTATTTTTGGTGCCATAGTGTTTGCTCACATTTAAAAAAAATAAAATTAAAGCTTTCTGCAAATTTTTGAGGCAGAGCAGAAAGGAAGACTCATGGCTCTTTGAATTGATCAGAGGGACACAAAAATGGCTGTGCAGGTGACTACAGAAAATCCTTACTGGGAATTAATTGACTTCTATCCATTGAGGCTCTCTTTTCCTTTGGCTTTTAGGTAGAAGAACGGTCAAGGCTGAACCGGCAGAGTTCACCTGCCATGCCTCACAAAGTTGCCAACAGGATATCTGACCCCAATCTGCCCCCGAGGTCGGAGTCCTTCAGCATTAGTGGGGTTCAGCCTGCTCGGACACCCCCTATGCTCAGACCTGTTGATCCCCAGGTATAATCTCTTCTTTATTTCACTGGGCATTAGGATGTATGATAAAACTTAGTAAAAGCCCAGGAGAGGGCCTGGGACTATGGCTCAGTGGTAGAGCACTTTCCTAGCATGTGTGAGGCACGGGGTTCGACCCTCAGCACCACATATAAACAAATAAAATGAAGGTATAAAAAAAATACTATAACAACAACAAAAAAAAAGCCCACAGGATTATAACATGATTTAGGCATAGGAGCAGTCAAATGACAACCCTAATGTCAAAGTTATAGCAATATATAAGGTTCCACTGAATTTGAAGGATAGAGGAAAGAGTGAGAAAGGAAAAAGCACCACCCTTCACTTGGAGTCAACCACACCATTCCTTCTTGGTAAACTGGCTCCTCTGAAGACTCCTAAGAGTATTGCAAGGTGGGGACAAAAATCTTTTTGGTTATAATTACCAAGACTAAAATTCCTATAGACCTTTGAAGTCTATACACACACACACACACACACACACACACACACACACACAGAGTCTTTTGTTTCTTGGTATTTTGCACTGGAGTCTGAACCTAGAAAAATTAAATGAACTTGGTGTAGTAAAACAGAGTCTTGTAAGCCAGCCATTTCCCCCAGCAAGCTCACCCCCCAACTGCTTCAGCATCACCCAGGAACTAAAGAAATGCATAGCGTCCAGCTCCACTCAGCACCTTGGGTGGGGCCTGGCAGTCTATGATTTAACAAGACTTCCAGGTGATTCTGCTACCTTTAGAGTCTGCAAACCACTGTCTTAAGCAACTCAGTGAGGAAAAGAGATTATTTCACTTTTAGGAAAGGAGAAAATTTCTGGAAGCTCTATAGGACTTTTAAATTAAATATGCCTGAAATGGAATATGAAGTGAAACAGAGCATGGAATTCCATAGAAAGATATAGGTAATGCAGCTTTTTACACCTGTCTAGAATTTCTTCCAGGCATCCACCTGTGTTAGGACTTTCCACAATGTATTTTAAGGTCACTTTTGAAATATGGAATACTATCTGAACAGGAGTTCAAAGAGTAGTAATAAAATCAAGTATTCTTTGAGATTTAAGTCACCTCTAATAGATGGCTTCCAAGACTTTTGAGAACCAGACAGCTCAACATAGCTTCTTCTGGGTCGTTTTTCTATGTACATAATTCTTTTATGCCTACCTTCAAAAGGATACATTTTTACAAGAACTTTTCTTTTAAAACCCCCAACTCTGACCTTATAAGGTTTACTTTTTTCCCCCTGTTAATAGGCAGCTTAGGAGGAGACACTTACTTTCTAAAAGTGACCAGAAAATGAAAAATATAGATATTTTATACCAGCTAATTGGGGGAAAATTTTTTCAGGTGCCTCAGTTTTTGGTTTTATTTTTATTGATTGACTTAGGTTCTTTTTAAAGTAAGTTTGTGTCTTGCAGTAGATATTTTTTAAATGTGCTCTGGTTTTAAGTCCTATTTAATGTATTTAGTGACGATATTTAGCATTGGTGTAATTTTCATTGATTCTGTTCCGATCGAAGCCTTAACATTCAGTGGAGCTGGGCTTTGAGGATTCTCTCCAAATTGTCATTAATGACATGCCAACTAAAATTTCAGACTAGACAAGTCTGACAAGTCCTGTACAAAGCAGATACTAAACGCTTGTTGAATTCATGGTTTGATTTAGAAAGCTCTCTAGATTTCTTTCTCAGCCAATATCTATGGAACACCTTCCACAGACAGGACACAGAGCTAAACTCAGCATGACAGACATAGCTCCTGTCTCCGGGAAACTGAGCTTCCTGAATGGGAGTGTTGGGTTAAAGAATTATTAAAGATAATGAAGTGTGAGCAGTGCTATGATAAAGGGGTACCCTGTGCCCTGGGTTCTGATGATTACTCTTAAGGACCCCCAGTATCACTTCAAGACTGCATGTCTTGTCTGCACAAGCAATATCACCAGATGGCCAGTGGTGAGACTTTAGAACTCATAAGACACATCCTGGTGTCAAGCGATGGTTAATGCTGTAGATGGTCAGAGGCAGCAGCACAGAAAGCAGGACATGCAGAGGTTAGGCATGTGGGCCATGGGAATTCGATACTAGGTCCCAATCCAGGCTCCAGCACCTGTCAGCTGAGGAGTCATCATGTGGCTTAACCTCTTTGCACCTTATGATACTTATGTGTAAAATGAGGGAAATGGTTGTAGACTCAGTGAGTTGACAAGAAGTTTAGAGCAGTCCTGCTTTTACAGAGCAACAACACTCTCTAAAGTCAAAGTTAGATGTTTTAAAGGAGGAAGTTTGTAATGTTAGAAGAGAAGTGTCTAAATATATTGCTGGTCAATAAATGCTCGCTCAATACAGCTATTGTCAGTAGCATCACACGATCCACGGCTTCTCAGAAAGCCATTTAACTTGTTGCCAAAACTCCAATTCAGCCCTACACATTGCTCTAGATGGGAGATTCTGAAGGGCTGTTTAAAGTGTGCTGTGGGCATGATGGACCCTGTAATTCAATTCTCAGGCCCTGGAATTTTTTCCCCTCCTTCAACTGATTGAGACACTGGCAGATCGTCTTCTAATAATGTTGCTCTGATGTTGGTTTGTGCTTAGATCCCGCAGCTGGTAGCTGTAAAATCCCAGGGACCTGCCTTGACCGCCTCCCAGTCAGTGCATGAGCAGCCCACCAAGGGCCTCTCCGGGTTTCAGGAGGCCCTGAGCGTCACCTCTCACCGCGTGGAGATGCCACGCCAGAACTCGGACCCCACCTCCGAAAACCCTCCTCTCCCCACTCGTATTGAGAAGTTTGACCGAAGCTCTTGGTTACGACAGGAAGAAGACATTCCACCAAAGGTAATGTCACCATCGAAACCACCATCCCCGTCACGATCGTCATGAGCACCACCACTGGTCCACCCTGAAAAGCCTGGTGATGCTGACTTCCTCCCTCCACATGCTTGTCTTGGTCCCTCCTCATTCCCAAGCTGAGACTTGGATTATCACTTATCATTTCTGACTGTCATCTCCCCAAAAGAGCTGAGACTCAGGTCAGTTGAATGGCTTGGAAGTATGTGTCCTGTACCAGAATTGGCGCTCTCAACCCAAGCATTCCAGACCACTTTATTAAAAATAGAATAATGGATATTTCCAATGATGACCACATCTACTTGTAGACAAATTGAAAACACCCAGATAAAAAGTAGAACATTCATTTAAAGTAAAACTAGATTTCAGGAATTCAGAAGGTGCTATTTGCCCTTGCAAACTTCTGGTTGGCTCCATGTAAGGACAGCTTCTTCTAGGCTAAGTCACAATTCAGTTCCAGCCCTGATTAATTACTAAGGATGAAACTTTAGGGTAAAATACCAGCCTTTCCACTGGACAGAACAGTCCTGAGTTCGAGTTCTTTTGTTCTCCTGTACCAAGTCATTGTTAGATCCCAGAAATGTTCTGGACTGTGACTGTAACGGGCTACAAACAACCAAGATGTTTTTCAAAATACTGAAAACATCTTTATATTAGATTCTTCCTAGTTCAGGAATCCCCTTTCTCCTGAACTCAGTGTAGAGAGCTGTGACAGACACATGGAATGACCCACAATTTCCAGGAAACACCATCCCCGTCACGATAAATTCTATGAAAAAAGATAGTATAATATTACAGCAGAATTCTATTATTTTGAAAATGAAAACAGCTGATGATGGCTTTTTTTTTTGGTGGTGTCCTCCTCTTGTTGAAGCAGAAGTGCCATCAGAAAAGGTTACTTAGGAGCAAAGAACAATGTGACAAATGAGGTGAGTCAGAGAGACGGAAAGTGGAAGCTGTTGGTCCACTCTAAATACATACAGCTGTGTATTTGTAAAGGTGGCGGAAACTCCAAATTGGTTCAGATACTTAAGTTTTAGTAATTAAATTAGACTCTTTCAACTCTTCCAATGTTCATGTTTACAAAAAGAAAAAGGTAAAATAGTAGTAGTAATATTTAACTTGAATGGATGGTAGCACCACTGTGGTCACTCTCCTTCACTGCCTCCTCTTTATGTTAAAATGGGCTGTAATAAAAAAATTAATTTTTCAAAACAGAGGCTGACACTTTACATTGAAAGTCATTTTCTACACTAGAAGTCATAATGTGATTCTTTCAAATCGTGGACTCCTTTGGTACTCTGACAATATTTGATTTCATAAAAAAGGGTCTTGCATGAGTCTCATCAAAGGAAACATACTTGAATCTACCTTGAGCTTTTCCCAGATAAGTTAATAATTCACTTTCCTGCTGTACCTCACAGTCTCCTTGATATTCACACAGACTTTTTGATGGCCCTTTTAGTCTTCAAAAAAGTCTTCTGACCTGAGGATCTAAATGGTAATTGCAGGTTAATTAGCAAGTAGAAATATCCAGGAACCATTGTATCAGGTTCTCCAGTCTTACTGAAATGACTTAATGTCCTGAGTTCTAGCCTGATATCCCAGTTTCTCTGTGGATTTCATAGCCTGTTAGTGGTAATGTGAGCTAAAAATGGAACTTGGCACTGTCTGGACAGCTTTCATCTGATGCAGCCACCAGTGAGGTAATGGTACCCTAAAAAGGTTTCAGGAATCTACCACTCTTGGCCAAACAAGAGAGGTTAATTACACAGAGCTCAGAAAGTCAAGACTATTAACTTAATCTGTCTTTAAGTTTGCTTTTAAGATTGGAAATCACCCTCCTTCATGGTTGCTGGTATGCTTCGGAGTCTTTGGTCTGCAGATCTTTGTTTGGTTTTATTTGGGGAGTTGAATATTTCTTTGAGGAACAAATAATATAATTCTTCCATATTTCAGATAGTTTCTGTAACTTCTGCTTATCGTTATAAAGGAGTAAGATTTTCAGATAGGAGCCTGTGGTCACTATTTTCTGGAAAATATTCCTGAATTCTGCTTTTCTTCCAGGTGCCTCAAAGAACAACTTCTATATCCCCAGCATTAGCCAGAAAGAATTCTCCTGGGAATGGTAGTGCTTTGGGACCCAGACTAGGCTCTCAACCCATCAGAGCAAGGTAAGGGAAGGAAGGTGACAAGTAAAGGAAGAAGCCTCATCCGCCATTGTCATCATTGCTTTCCTAAGGAAAAAAAAAATTTAAAAAAAGTTCCCTGTTTGTTTGTTTTTTTGCTTCAGAAGCTTGTTAACTTACCACCTGGACGTTAAGCACATGCCTCTTACTACTTCAATAAATCTTAGAAATCAGTGTTACGGTGGGGGTCTAAGAATGAATGAGCAACTGGATGAGTGAATGAAGCAACCCAGGAGGCAGTCAGGTGTATTGAACTGACAGTTTTTAAAATCTAGGAGCAACATTGCAAATATAAATCAGATTGCACTATCCCGAACTGTAGCTTCCGAGTCCCATTTGAAGGGAGTCAGCAAGTCAAAATGGTCTATTATGAGGTGATTTTTAGCATCCAGTCAAGAAATGAGCCCTGGGAACCATTGAGACATTACAAAGCAACTGCCCGGAAAAGAGTGACCAACTGCAGAGCTCCTCCAGCCTGGCACTTAGGAAAAGACCAGCTCCAGTAGGGAGATCACTTATTGGGCATTGTTGAGGGTCTCTGAAATGCAGTTATGCTTTCTCCGTTATTCTCTGCTCTCCCTTCCAGAATTTTCCATCCACAATGTATACTCTTATAGTCAGGAAATTGCATCCGCTCCCACTGGTTAGTATAGCAGTCTCGACAAGCTAGAAAGTAAGCAATATCTTTGCAGTATCTGGGCAGATTTTATGTGGTAACAGATGCTGTTTGCTGCTGCCGTTCATCAAGCTTCCCTCAGATTTTTCATGATGAATACATTCCTTTTTAGGATCCACTGAAATAGCAAATGGCCTCTGCTGAGGCTATAAAAAGGATGAGCTTGGGCAGGCTGTTTTCTTCTCCTTCATTGTGTTCATAATAAGAGAAAGACCCTCCTTTCCTAGTAAGAGAGAGAGAGAGACTAGAAATGAAGCTTGCAGTTATTTGTACACATTTTTAAGATATGGAATGTTTTTGATCTTAACGCTCTTTCTTCTTCACATGAAAAGCCTTAGGAAGGGGTCAGTCCATAAATAAGATGAAATTATGCTAAGAGCAGCATGCATCCCTTGAGGGCAAAGATGCTAGCTCATTCCGAGTGGAATTACCAATCACAGGAGGCTCTGAATGAGCCATTTTTTTCTTCCCAGTGACTTGTCAGACTCACGCTGAGCTGGTGTTGCTAAGCAGCACCGAGCAGACCCAGACACACTGTGGCTGGGGAGCCAGAGGAATGCCAGCCCTGGCTCTCCAGCAAACTTCTTCCATCCCCTTCCTAGAGCAGCAATAAGCCCCCAATTGTCAGGGCTTCTTGCTCTTTTGAACCCTGCCCTTAGGGCTCTTCATTAAATCAGTTGCTTAGAATTGAGGTTGCTTTGGATCCAAAATTATTTCAACTTTTAAGTATTTTTCCTTCTGTCGACCAAAAAGTAAAAAGTAAGATCTACCATTATGTAGTCAAATAAAAGGAAGCTTTTTATTCTCTCCAAAGTGAGATTTTAATGACATTGGGGCCCCACTTAATCAGTATTTGATGGTCAGATGCTTATAAAATATGAGTTTTTACCTGGAATCACTTAAATATTTTTACCTTTTTTTAATATTTCCAATATTTCTCATTATTTCCAAAGAATGCATGAGAGATGGTCTACTTAGGTAGAAAGGAAGCGAGCTAAAAGGTAATAATTATTTACCTACAGTAGAAGAAAATTGGGGACAGTGGAGAATCCCTATCTCTGCATGTGGAACAGTCCAGTAGAACACCCCCATGTCTTGCTAACACATATCTCCATGTGACCAACATTTAAGATGTAAATTAGGCTTTGCAGCTCCAGATTGGATTGCATTTATAAAAGCTTAAAATACAGTTTACTGTATAGAGATAGCTCTCATTCACCTTTCATGGTTAATAATCCACCCCAAAACTCAGTGGCCTGAAAGATAGCAGTTTATTTCGCCTGTACCTCTTCTCCACAAGGTCTTTCATCTCGGTATCTTTACCCCTTAGCAATCTAAGAGCAGCATTCAGAGAGTGACACTCCAGTACACACAGATATGTTTTTTGTTTTGTTGCAGTACTGTGGATCAAACCCCCACATAGTATTTTTTTTTCTTTTCTTCACCTTTGTTGATGTCTCACTGGCTACAAGTCTGAACCATGGAAAGGTACCACATAGTGTCATGCTTAGAGAAAAGTTTGATTACCTGGGGCTTCTACACTGCATTTCTTACTCTTGGTTGATAGTCCTTCTTTTCTTCCCAGTCTTTTCTTTGAGGTGATAATAAGGGAAACTAAAAAATTAGCAAAATTAGAATAAATGCCAGTGAAAGCTATAGTTAATTAGGGACAGATTCAGGACACTTCTGTTATTATTTTTAATTCATTTGCTAAATTTAGCTAATATATATTAAGAATCTGCTGTATACAGGGCTGCACACAGCCCTGGGACCCAGTGACTCCAACCAAGACTGCCTAAGTCATAGGGCCTACTATTTCCTGCTACTCTTTAGAGTACAGATATAATTAAGGGCAAATTATATTTGTTTGCCTCACCTTTTTGTTGCTTTTCTTTGGTGTAAATATGTGAATTAGCTTATTTGTAAAAGGCAGACCCTCTCTCTTCTCCTGTGGCAAACTTACAGACCCCAAGTTTAAAATAACAGTGTTTCAACACCAAAGGATTTCAGGCTCCCAAGTTACCATATGGAGAAGAGCCATCAAGGAGAGCAGTTTGCCCTGTGGATAATATGATGTGTGTGAGAAACAACCCATAGTATGAAACCAATAACCACACACACAAAAAAAAAAATTGGCAGATTATAATGGTTAAGAAGCTCGGATTTTTAATATTAGTACTAATTTTAAACAGAAACTGCAGAATATGTGTTTTGTATTTGATAATTTGGAAAACAGTACATTTGAATAAAAAGAAAACTCCTTCGTATCCTTGAAGGGAAGACTCTTGGCAGTGTCACGCAGTATGCTGACATGTAGCTGTTACAAAATAAAAGCAGAGCTTTATTCTAAATACCCTTCCTTCTGCTATCTACACACATTGTACCAAATCAGAAAGAGTCCTCTAGAGAGCATGCTTTTGTAGTTTTGAGCAGGTATAGCTGTGCTGCAGTCAGTTGCTCAACCAAGTGTTATTGGGCAACCTTTGCAGGTCTTTGTTTATTTAGTGAACACCTCTGGAGCACTTATATGTATGGTATACTTCTCTAAGTACATTGCAAATATTAAATGTTTAAACTCTATAGCAACTCTGTGAGGTAGTGACTGTAGTCATCCCCATGTTTTAAATGCACAAACTGAGATAAACAAAAGTTGCGCAAATTGCCCAATGTGATGAAGTTAATAAGTCAGTATTTGAACTCTGGTAGCCTTACACCAAAGTCTACTCTCTGAAGCGCCACTTTATGTTGATCACAGCACCAGTGCAGCTGCCACTGCTGCCTGGTTTTCCTAGGGGAAAGGGACACCCTTGATTCATTGACGGACTCCACACCGTTTTTCCTGTTTCCCACTCTGGGGTAGATGAATGTGTTGACATTCCTCCTAATCTTAAGATTATCGATCCTTATCCTGTGAGACTCAATACCTTGTAAATATCATTGTCTTGGGAGACATATTTATACTCTGAACTCTTACGCACTCAAGCTGGAACTGGTGTCGTCTGTCACATGCTGGTGATGCTTCCCTTCCAAAATGGCTGAAGTCTTGGTGATCCCACGGTTCAGTGACCCCAGGCAACCATCCTGGCTCCCCTTTCTCCTGTGTATGCTGCTGAGCATTGCTCAAGCTGCCAGATCCAAGAGCGGTTCTCACCTGCCCTGTGGATTTCCAGTGCCTAATGCTGTCAGGGCAATCAGTTGAGTTTAAATCAAGTTTTGATAAGAGCGTTTAACTAGATTGTTTTTAAAACTCCCAGACAGTTTAATATTTAACTTTGATTCATGCATTCTTTTAAAGCAAATTAAAATTCGATCAAACAAGTACACTCAGAATATAAAAAGATTTAAATTGAGCCAGAAACACCCAGTCAAAACCCAATGACTAAAAGCTTAATTTCAAAATAATTCTCTGTCCCATCCCAAGCCTATCTTCTTATGACTTGTTTATTCTCATTGACTGTATCATCAGAGAACAAAGTAAAGTGAATTTTGGCAGCCAGCCAGTTAATTAAAAGACTTGGCCCAAGTACTTGGGCACAAAATCACTTTGTAATCCTCATTTTCTATTTTGACTTTTTATATGATTCAAGTGGATGGAATAATTGCCACATTTTACTTTACTATGTGTTTTATAGACCAAACATCATTGTCTGCACAATGCCAAATGTAGGAATTAAAAGTTAGCATTTAAAAAAATCTATTTGGATGTTTTCAAATTTTTACATGTTTAGATTGAGTAGACTCAGTAATACATGAACAAGAGAAATCTATTATTTAGTGGAATCCTTCTGAAATTGAACCTAGAGCCTTTAGCTCAGACCCCTTGGACCCAAAGCCACACCATACATACATAATAAAGAAGAGAAAAATGTGAACAGTATGACATTTTCTCAAATTGCTAGTGTTTGACAAAAAAAATAAAAATAAAAAGGTAGAAAAGCATTGTAAGTTCTCCCTTTTTCTATAGGTGGTTACATAGAAACCAAAGACTTCATTTAGTCTACCCCAGCAAAAATAGCAGCCTGTCAAGATCAGCACCCACCCTGGTTAGCTCCAGTGGGAGGACTTGTGCTAATGAGGCCCAGGTCAGGGATTTAATGCCCATGGGATCCAATTAGCTTCACATGGGAAGAATCTCTGAGCCCCATCAGAGATGCATGCTCATCTCAACTGATTCTGCTAATGCCCTTGCTCTTGTTCTACACTGGGACAACCCTGGCCCGGGCCTCGCCATCTAACATGGCAACAGCCCCTCTCTGTACTGCCTGCCCTTCTCCTGGCCAGTCATGCATAGACCTCCCTTGGGGGATGCACCTTCTCTGCCAGGCTTTAAAGGCTGGTGCCTGATCGGGCTATAACCTGATCTTTCCTTCTGATCACCCTCCTCTCCAACTTGGCACTCCTTCCTGTTGGTGTCCCCTCCACACCACATACACCTGGAAACCCCAGCCCTCGTCTTTACACAGGCTCTTTCCAGCCTCCCAGCTTACTGCTCCAAGACCCAGTCAAGTTCTCCCTCCTTCATCCCACTGTCCTTGACCCCTCCAGTCTGCAAGAATTGTTTCCCAAGCTCCAGCAGTATTTACAGCCTCTTTCCCAGACAACATTCAGAGTTACCATGTTTAATGTTGTCTCCATTGTGTGTATCTCATTGCCACCATCATGTTGTAACTTGAGTGTTCGCCCTGTGACCTGTGCTTCTCCATCCCTCTTCCCAATCCAGTGAGGCTCACAAAATAAATGCTTACTAGAAAGGTTTTGGCTAAAGAGTCAAAGGAATGCTACATCTGTATACATATGTGCACTTACACATACCTAAGTTCATGCCTTTCACCCAAGAATTCCAATTCCAGGAAATAGAGATATGATTTAGTATTGGTGTGCAGACAGCTGATTATCTCATCATTATTTGTCACAGCAATGTATTGGAAGCACCTTAATATCTAAGAGCAGAGGATGGCCAAACTAATTCATCTATACAGTGGACTATAATGCAGCCATTCCTTTTTTTCCAAAACATAAGAAAATGCTCACAATGCAGTATTAAAAACTTTAAAAAGCAAAAATAAAAACCAAATATATGATATGCTGCCTTATATACAAAAGAAAAAAGATGAGAAGATAATTTACCAAATAGTGAAATTAAGTTGAATATCTTCTTGTTCAGGGATTTTGAGTGTTGCTTCCTATATTTCAAGTTTAGTATAATGCACACAGGAAAAAGTCAAGGAAGCTTCCCTTTAAGATTCACCATCTCAGAGATAGTGCTTTTAGTGTAATGACTGAAAGATTGAGTCAGGAGTTCATTCCCTGCATGCCCAGGAGCTGGCCAGGAGCTCCATGAGGAAGTCAAACTGCCATCATTCTGGGACTCCTTCAGTGCATGGCATCTTGAGTGCCCCCTTTACCCCTTGACCTTGCGGACAAGTGCTGTACGGTGCTGCTCCACCAATGGCAAGTTATTTCCCCCCAGGCTTATTGATGAACAGCTGACAAATAAAATTTATACATACACACACACAGCATCAATGTGATGTTTTGAATCTGTATAAATTAACATCTATCATTTCACATAGTCTTCATGTTTTCTGATGAAAACATTTAAAATCTACTTCAAGTATACATTATTACTAATTATAGTCACATAGTGTACAAGAGATCTTCAGAACTTATTCATCCTAACTGAAACTGTTCCCTTTGATCAGCATCTCCCTGGTCTCCTCCTACTGATCCCAGAGGCCCTGATAGCCTCGTTGCTTTTCAGAGTTGGACTTGTCCACATATGAGGAAGATCATGTCATGCTTGCTTTTTTGTATGTCTGATGTTTTTGTGTTTAAAACACATATGTGACGGTGGCACAGGCCTGCAATCCCAGGGGCTTGGGAAGCTGAGGCAGGAGGATCACAAGTTCTGGGCCAGCCTCTGCAGATTAGCCAGGCCCTAAGCAACTTAGGGAGACCATGTCTCAAAAAAATAGAAAGTATTGGAGATGTACTCAGTGGTTAAGTGCCTCTGTGTTCAATCCACAGTGTGTGTGTGTGTGTGTGTGTGTGTGTGTACACACATATACAAACATGTACATATACACACACACACATATATATATATATGATATATGGCTGTATTAATTTACATTCCCATCAGCAGTGTGCAGGTGTTTTCTTTTCTCTGTATCCTTATCAACACTTATCATCTCATTCTGATAATTGCCATTCTAACAGGTGTCAGGCGATAACTCCTTGTGTTTTTAATTTGATTTCTCTATGCTTAGTGATGTGGAGCATTTTTACATAAGTCTGTTGGCTATTTTCTGTCTTCTTTTGACAGATGTCTATTCAGATCCTTGGCCCATTTTTAAATCTATTTGTTTTCTTGCTGTTTTGTTGAGCTCCTTATATATTTTGGATACAGAACCCTTATCAGATGTGTGGTTTGAAAAACTGGCCAAGTCTTGAGGGTGTAATCAGTGTGCTCCACCATTGCAGCAACCCGGATCTCCGGAGAACGGAGCCAGTCTTGGAGAGCCCCTTGCAGAGGACCAGCAGTGGCAGTTCCTCCAGCTCCAGCACCCCCAGCTCCCAGCCCAGTTCTCAAGGAGGCTCCCAGCCTGGGTCACAAGCGGGATCCAGTGAACGCACCAGAGTTCGAGGTAAAGCCTATCTTACCTTTCCCCAGGGACACTGCCCATGGAGGAAAGCTACGGGTGGAAAGAGGGGTCTTTATTGACCCTGGTCCTGGTGTGGTCATCACTCTGTGACCCCAAATAGCCCCTTCGCTGCCTCAATCTTCCTCAGGGACTGGGTCACCATCCTTCATTGTGTGGACCAAATTCTTGCTAATCTCAGGTACTAGTGTTTTCCAGAGAAATCGTCAAACTGTGGTCTTATTTAAAAATAGTTACTAGTCACTGAATTTCCATTTTTATTTGATTGCCTTTAGAATTTTATGTACCTCTGAATGTCCTGTTCCCAATGTGCCAATCATCCCTTTTAGAATTCTGAACATAGTTCATAATTCTAGGTATTTTTCAAAATGAAATTTAATAAAGACTAACATTTAGAATAAATACACTTGGGGAAGAAATAAAATTTCTGACTTGAAAAAAACATATTTGACTTTTCTGGTTATTAGGTAAAAATTAGTCTCTCTAAGCATTTAATGCAAATCATTCATTACTGTTTACTTTTCATTAATGGAGAATCCTATTGAAAACCATTAATATTGTACATGTAATTTTATGTAACAATACATTTTCTAGCTAGTCAAAATTTACTCTGGATCACCTTCTGCAAAAGGTAATCTTGGTTCCAAGTGATAAAAACCAGTGCTTTTGAAGTTCATTTAATAAATATTTATATACTTATAAACCACTTTGTTCAATGAGATCCACGTCTTGTTTATTCTTTCTTGGCCTCTGCAGTGGAGACTACTATAGTTTATGTCCTAATATCCCTTTCAGGTTGTAAATAAGTGGAATCATTGTGTGTCCATACTGAAAAGTTTGGTGTCTAACACCTGATTTCCATGTCTGTGTCTTGGGACTTAGACTGGCCCACGGCTGCCCCTGTATGCATTCTTCTGACATCTGTGACATAGACCAGAGCTATGTCTTTGTGTCTGAACACAAATTTTCTTAACTTAGAAAAGTGTCATTCCCTTCTATTCACAAGCAACTTATTAGAGCAAATACTAAAGAAAACAAAAATTATATATATCATTTTATTCTCTGACGTAGATGAGGTTTAATTCTTATATTCTGAAGAACTGAAGTTCTTATATTCTGATGAACTGAAGTTCCTAGTTCTGGATTTAAAGTGTTCTTGTATCCCTCGTATGTCCCTGCCTAGGAAAGACCACTTTAAAACACAACAAAATATCTCTCCTACCCTGGACTGTGGTTTTTCTACCTATAAGTTCATCAACAAAAGAAAAGTTGGGAGCCTCCCCCACCCTTACCTCTTATTCTGGGGCTCTTCACTTTATCACCAACACTTTCCTCCCCCCCCCCCCCAATTCTTCCTTCCTCAAAGATCCCAGACCACTCCCACTCCTGTTTAAAAATTATTCCAAATAAGGGTTTTTGTTTTTTTTTTCCTACAAAATTCCATTCTGGTGAGTAAGTAGTAAAAGAGGAAATCAAGCATAGAACCTTAACTTGGAAGCTGGTTTATAGCAGAGTGATGAAGAACAGAACTTGGAGAACTCAGAAAGAATCCCCACTTAACTCATAATAGCATCATGAGTTCAGGCCAGTTGTGTCGTCTTTCTAGTCTGCATTCACCTGTAATATAGAAAAATAGTGCCACACCACTAGGTTGGAGCAAGGATTAAATGAGATAATTGACACAGAAGCATGAGCCCTTTACCTGATACAATGTGTACTCAGTTCATGATGGTGGTAGTGTGCTTGCTACAGTTTTTCTTATTATTACTACCGACTTCTAGGTTACAGGTCTAAATGTGTCTTCCTTATTTTGTTTGTCTGAACATTTATTATTTTTCCATGTATATGCTTGAGGATTTACCTAAGTGAATGACTAGTCCATCCAGTAATCCTGAGGGGGATGACACTCCACTGATCGCTCACCTGGGGCATGAGTCTGCATTTTTTGATGGTCCTGTCTCTCTTGACCCTCTGTTTTCCCTCTAGCCAACAGTAAGTCGGAAGGATCACCTGTGCTCCCCCATGAGCCTTCCAAGGTGAAACCAGAAGAATCCAGGGACATTACCCGGCCCAGTCGACCAGCTGTGAGTGCCTTCCTCTATGAGTTTTTAAACTCTTTTAATTTACCAGAGAACCCACAAGATAAATTGGGGATACATTCATGATTATAATGAGCAAAAGTTGAGATGAATAAAAGAAAGGATGCTGGGAACGTCCAGAGGGAAGGGATACCTGATTAAAAAACAACTGAGCAGATCTTGGATTGTGTCCTCTGCCTTTGAATGTTTTGCTGATCATCAGTGCTCCTTTAGAGAGTAAAGCAGTAAGAGAAATAACTCGTGTCTTTCCATAATTTCTGCTCAGAAATGGCAAAAAAGATGTTGAACTAGCAGTTAAGGATGCTCGAGCACTTGCTATTGATTTCTCTTATCTCTTCTGCTCTTTCCCATATTATTTTCCATATGAATGAACATTACAGTTTTTCTGCTACTTTTCTTGCCTTCCGGAGCTGTCTTTTATGGACCCAAACTTGATAAGCATGGCGTGAACAGGGGCTTGACAACTTGAAATCCAGCATCATTGCTGGACATCATGTAGACTTACAGAAAGAATTAAGAGCATGCAGGCTGAAATTTGAAAGTGGAAAATTAATTTGGGAAGAGTTACTATCCACCCAATTTATTTCAATTTTCTGAGACTCTTTTCTACAAAATGAATGTGAAGCCTTTTGGGTTTATTGTGTTCTTTTTTTTTTTTTTTAAGATCTTAAAGTAAGGAGGTATACTGAATAATAATGAAAGAAATGTGCATGGTCCTGGGTTGAACTTCTCTTTGCTTTTTGTCTTTCTTAGTTTTGTTCTAATGATTGCAATTCTGTGTCTAACCTGCTTCCTTTCTTCTGGATTTTCCCCTTCTATGGATTCTTCTGGATTGGGTCCCTCTTATCTCAGAGCTATAAGAAAGCTATAGATGAGGTTAGTATTACCTTTTCTTGGTCATGCTTTCACAGAATGTAAATATTAAATTAATTTCCTGATGTTGACATTCAGAAGAGGCTGGGGGAATCACAGGTTCAAAGTCCAGTCATCTACTAGGAGGAGAGCCCCTTGGATGGAAGGCAGCCTGAGACCTTCATCCCTCCCCATGTAAAGCTTAGAGCCTACTCTCAGAAAAATGTCACCTTTCCAATGTTCCATCTGGCTAACACCAAGTGTTAGTGCTTTATTAATGGCAGAGTTTCTCCTTCCAGTACCTTCCAATAGCAAACCTGTCCTCACCAGCCTTGCTAAGAGATAGCTCTCAGCGGTTTTATTAACCAAAAGAGAGAGAGAGAGAGAGATCATTCCAGGGCACTCCAAATTTATAGTGTGTGATTTGTGAACAAGGAGTTACTGGGTATTGTTAGATTAATTCTGTGGGGCATTAACAAGAGCATCAGCAGCAACATCAACTTTAGTTAATGAATCTCGGTGAGTTAAGTGACTTTATTTCCTTATCTGTGGAGACATTTTTCCATTAGAGAAGTATATGGCTTTGCCAACCTGAGGTAGCTTGCTAAGAAGGATGACTGCCTCACTGCTGTTTGACAGGCCTGCATGAGTACAGCATAGTGGGATTTCTTTTCAGAGCCAGACCTTGCAGAGTCCTCAATGCATGGAATCTAAAGTCTATCCTGATGGCTTTAAGGCTGAACCTCTGCTGAGCACTATTTTTGTGAAATTACATGGAAAAAGCACTGGCTTGGGGGATCAGCAAGTTGCATTTAAATCTTGGCTCCCCCAGTAAATAGCTGGCTAGTATGAGTCTCATAACCTCTCTGGGCCAGAGTTTTTTCATCTGTAAAATGAGGATAAAAACACCTGCCCAACCTCACCTATGAGATTGTTTAGATCACTCAAGGTCATGTGTGTAGAAGTACTTTGTGATGCATAAAACCCTATGAAAAAAAAAGAAGTTGTCCTGTTAGGATTTGGGCCTGAGTCATAGAGCTGGTCTCAAGTGGGAAAAGCACATTTCTATGCATCTGGGCTTTACCAGATAGGCTCGCTTTTTCAGAATTAGGACAATCTCACCATTCAGTGATTTAGAAAGTTGTCCTAGCTAAAGGATTATTGTTTATAAAGGAATGAGCCTCTACATGTCTACCGTGTGGGGATGGTATTTACGGAGAGGGAAGAGGGGAATATTCTTAATTGCTCTCTGCCAAGGCCTTGCCAGATCCTTTCCCTCATAATAGTGAGAAGAATGGGAAATTGTCACAACTTTTGTCAGTTTTTTTCCCAGAACAGGTGAAGAAAGAGAATTATTTTCTGATGCCATAGTTACCAGTAAAATGGTTGAGTGTTTATGCACAATTCAAGGCAATTTTATGAGTCCCAAAAATGGCCTAGGAGTGGCTCTCATGTGGGACAGAGCTCTAGTGGATTTCATCTGGTTAACCCTGGATATTTTAGACTTTCCAAATTTGCTTTATTTACTTGGGTGTATTCCACTACATTGGACAGAGTTGAGAAGAGGCAACAGAAGTATAATTAATTGTAAGGAATTATGTGAACCAAACACCAACATCTCTGGGACCATGTGTAGCTAGAAAAAGCCCCTTGGGTGACCCTGTCAACCCCAACTCTTGGATATCATTGATCCAAAGCACTAAAAATACTGGATTACTTGACTCTCTCTAACCCTGTTGTTCTTAGCTGAGGACGATTCCTCTACTCACCACCCTTAGGAGACAGATTTGGCTGTCATATTGAGGGCAGAAGGCACTGCTACCAGATAGAGCAGAGGGATGCTACTAAAAATCCTACAGTGCACAAGAGAACTTCCCACAATAAAGAATTATCTGGCCCGATATGTCAATAGCACCACAGTGGAGAAACCTAGAATTTAACTAGAGCTAACCCTAACCCTTCCTTCTCCAGTCCACTGGTTTCAATATGGCTTCCTTCTCAGTGACTATTCTGCCATTTAGATAACTGAGGGTTGAAATGAAAAGTCTTAAACTCTTGTTTGAGAACTCGTTACTTTTTAGTGCTAATTTAATGGTTTAATTTTTCATAAAAGTCAGTCTGGGAAGTACTCATTAATTTTGCATTACTTTCCCATAAGAAGATGAGATTTTTACAGCCATAGTCTGTGATCACTTAGTACAGCCTTTGAAAATAAGTACTTTTACTTTAGCACAATCACGAATTTGACATGCAGATTATTTGAATAAGCAAACACTGGCTTTGCCACCATTTTTTCATTAGTATACAGGAATCTGAAAAACTCCCAAGCACATTCTTAGATGGGATGAAACTTGAGAAAGAACTAATAATCCAAACACTTTTTTCTTCAGATGAGTATACTGAAGTTAAGTGACTTAGCCAGTGTCATCTTTTGATTTCCTAAATAGGAAGTAACTTATTTTAATACATAAGGAAAAGACTAGCTTCAGTTCCTTAACAATATAATGGTTAAAGAAGTTGAGCTAAAATTTTAATAAACTATATTATTTCCAAAAAGAGGCCTAAAAGAACACCTTTCTATCTTCATATTCACTCCATAGTTTAAAAAAATCACCCATTTTCCATATTTCTTTTTTATACATTCTCAGATATTTTCTTGGTAAATAGTACTTTTATTTCCCCTTTTTAATATCTTTTTAGCATCAGGCTTGACACAGCCATGCAATAAATTACCAGAAAGTCTCATTATATGAAGAATATTGTTATTGTCTGAGAACAAAATGTATGAAAATGGATCTGAACCCAGTGGTATCAATTTTAGATCTCGTCTATTTTCTAGAACTTTGTTATTGTACATTTTCCCATAGTAGATGGCTAAGAAACAAAATGTCAGCTGAAACACAGGCTGTTGGTGTGGAGAATTAATTTTCTTTGACTGGAGATATTACTTTTGAGTTACTCATTAATGTTACCCTGAAATTTTCACATATGCCTCATCCTCCAAGCTGTTATCAATTGAACTTAAAAGGAATTTGCAATTATTTCTAATATTTCAGGAAGGAGATTTTTAATAACAGAAACAAAACAAATTCTGATTAAAAGCAAAATTATAAAGCAGGTCAGAACTTTAAAGTGTTTCTAAATAACAGTGTTTAGGAAGATGTAGGTCATTTTAACAAGTGAAAGTTTCTTGAAATCAATGGGCTATGGACTAGCTAAATATTTCTAAATAATTTTGATTTTTCTAAAATCTCTTTAGTTGTGTTTTGAGGTGTCAAAATATGGAAAAGTAGGCCCTGGGGGAAAATGTGCCTTAATTTAAGTAAGTCATAGCTGATAGTATTATATTTTACTCAGAATTATTGATTTAAAATAAACTCTTTTAAACCATATTCTCTCTTTACGCTATAATGAAATGTAGTTTTTAATGACAAGTAACATTTTAAATTCTAGTTACATTCTTTGATGAGACTTAACAAGGTCTTAACGTACTATAATCAGAACACAAAAGAAATCTATCTAATTTGTTATTATTTTACTAGTTTGGAAGATTATAATACACTTTTCTTTTCATGGCCTTAAAAAATATCTAGACACTATGTTCCCATTGTGTTCAAGTATAGTATACTCTTCACTTTCTTTTCCATTTGATGAAAATAGGCATTAACAATTACCAAGAGGAAATAAATAAAAAGCTGAAATGTGCATATGAGCTTTTCCTATTTTGGCTCATTGCCAAAGAAACCCAAAATAAATTTGCACAAAATTCTATGTGTGTGGTAGTTTTCCTCTTCCTTAATAGTATGCATTTTATTTAAACACCATTGAGCCTTTTTAATACAATTCTACTTTCACTTTCACAAATGGGATAAATTTAAGTGCTGAGACTGAGGCTATTTTGTTTATGCAAGTGTGCTTGTATAGAAAAGCCCTTGCAAGGCTGTTTGTATATATAATGCACAGTTAGAAATTGCAAAAGCTTCCCTTTTTCTGAGGGCTCCAATTTGACTTCAGGACAAATTTTAAAGTCATCATTGCTTCCCCTTTGATTTGTATGAAATTAGAAAGAAATGGCTCTTTCACTTAACACCTTGAACTTCCTAAATTTCAGCTGAAACGCCTGAAGTGCTTCCTCCCCTGGTCTCACCCAAAATAGTCATCCCTGGCATGTAGGTAGCAATAGAGAAATATGATGGTTTGTGGTCTCTTCAAAATAAAATCATAATTATAATTCATACATGGTTATCACAGCTCTTCTTGTATCCAATTGGGAGAGATTATGTAATGTCATTTAGGTCACCTAGATTACTCTAATCCTACTTCAGGTGAATAGAACAAATACATTTCTGGAATGAAATAAAGAGAGAATATGGACATAAGAAAATTGTAGGATTTAGTTTTTTTTTTCAATGAGTTTCTTTCTCCCTAATCCCCTGTCTCTCACTGAATGCTCTGATTCCCACATGGGTCACTAAATAGGGAGAAATGGTAAGACTGATGTCAAATTGCTTTTTCCTCATTTGCATGCTGTGTGCCATGGGCAGTTTAACCCATGCAAATTAGAGCGGCCATGCTTCTGCAGAACTGCTTCCCTCTGCATTGCTCTGATAGCATGCCAAATAAAAGGTAGTCAGATATTCAGCACACTGCCTGCAGTATGCCTGGTGATTAAATCCCACATCATCACATCCATAAGGCTAAAGGTTTCATCATACTCATGGAAAACTGAAAAATTCTCTCTTCCTTTCGGTGTTTGCACATCCATTTCAGTGTTCTTTGCCAGGGTTCTGCCAGGTGACTGGAATTTAAAACTTGAGACAGTGAAACACCTATAATTCTGGAAGAGAACTCCTTTTCTCCTTTTTTTTTTTTTTTTTCTTTTTCTTTTTTCCCCCTCTTGATTAACTCTGCTCTGTGGCTATCAATTTTGATGGCTCTGGGCTTTGGGGTGGGCCATCATTTGATGTGGTGCCTCTGCTCTCCAGGGAATGATCACACACCAAATGAACCTTGGGAATTGCTCTGTTCTATGACTGATGCTAGATTTTGGTCCAGCAGTGATTGTAAGAAAGGAAAGGCCATCTCTATGGCTTGGGTGGGAGTCCCACTATACTGGGGAACCATTTTTAATCCCATGTATTTTCCTATTAACTCTGAGGGTGACCATCTTCACCTTCTCAAAATAAAATGTATGTATGTGTATGTGCATAACATGGCCTACACACACGTGCACCTGTCTATTCAGAACTGGTCAGTCTCGGTCTAGCTATTGGTTTTGAACAAAGTTTAAAGTGATTTCATCTTTCTTTTCTAGCTTCTACACACCACAAACATCGTTTTCTTAGTTCCATGCAGTAACTATGTTTGTCACAGTTCTCTATAGAGCTTTTTTCTTTCTTTTTCCCCCCCTTTGTTGCTTAAGCTGGAGCACTAACTTGCTGAGAGATGTGGCTTTGGTCATGTCTAAAATTCATACGCTGAACAACCTTTCTTTTGTAGGATCTGACGGCATTGGCCAAAGAATTAAGAGAACTCCGGATTGAAGAAACAAACCGCCCGCTGAAGAAGGTGACTGATTATTCCTCCTCCAGTGAGGAGTCAGAGAGTAGTGAAGAAGAGGAGGAAGATGGAGAGAGTGAGACCCACGATGGGACAGTGGCTGTCAGCGACATACCCAGACTGATGTAAGAGGACTTTGGTTTTTTTGTTTGTTTGTTTGTTTGTTTGTTTGTTTTGAGGTGGGGTCCTTGCTATGTTTCCCAGGCTGGCCCTGAACTCCTGGGCTCAAGGGGTCCTCCTGACTCAGCCTCCCAAGTAACTGGCACTACCAGTGTGCACCACCATGCCCAGCTCTAGACTACTTAAGTGCAGACCAGAAGGAGACTAGGTCTCCAAAGCTAAAGGACAAAAATGGGAACTAAATATAAATCGTAGATAGATCACGGGTAAGGCAAATTGACTTTGGAGTTTGGGGTTCTTATTAGAACATAATCCTATAGTTAATCTCTCTCTCCATAGACATAATCACTTAGAATTTGTACATTTCTAGAACTGTGTGTCCATTACCTTTCCATGGGAAGGTAACATATTCCTTTTGGTAAATTTTTTTCTTTTCTTTCTTTCTTTTTTTGTTTTTGTTTTTGTTCTTTTCATCTCTAGAACAAACAGTATTATCATTGGTGCAAGCCTTTCTCCCTGGAACTACAAAAGTGAAATTGTGAACAATGGCATTTAGGGAATAAAATGAAAAAAGAAATGAGACATCTATTCCATTGCCACCACTGCCACCAGTAAATAAGGATGAATGTACATGGCATCCTCGATTAGCATCCCACTGACAGAATCAGGAGTCACACAATCAGGGAGAGAAACTTCCCAGTGTTTGGTTTAATATACCTTTAAATCTTACCCTTATGATTTTCTACGGCATCACCTTCATTGTCTGTCTTCGCAGTCTTCCTTTTGATTATATCTATATCTATGCCTGCCATTATTTCCCTCAGTAGTTAAAGTCTTTACTTCTTTTTTTCTTTTTCTGTTTTTTTAACATGAGGGAGGAGCTTACTGTTCTTTCACATTGGAGTGAATCCCAGCGGGATATCCCCATGCTCTGTTGCTTCCCCATCTCCTTCTCCAGATACACACAAGGTCTCATTGCCCTGGTTTACCAGAACCTTGACAGAATGCAACGCTGAGTTTTCCAGCTTCACTTTTCCTTTCCAGTCCTGTGACTTAGCTATCAGTGTTGATCACCAGACCTCACTCACTCTTCTCACTCTGTATTGAGAAGATGCCTCACGGCCACAGATCATTGTCGTGTTCCAGAAGGATGAGACCCAGGTCTGGTTAGCCTGCAGGAAATGCCATCCATTGTTTTACCTTTGTTACATTACAAGCAAGTCTGAGAGGCAAATCCAGTTATCATTGCCAAAAATCTATGCTTGGTGTTTTACTGTTGATTACCCAGTTACCGACAACCATAAATATGCTAAAATATGATATTTTGAAACATTGTATTAAATTGCTTTTTTTTTAACAGCAAATAATATTGTTCTAGAGGCAAAATCACTATTCTAAAACATTTGTGCCAAACAGGCTGGCCCTTTCGGGTTTTATCTTGATTCAGCATTAATTCTTCTCACAGATGTTCAGAATTCCCTTTAAGCACTAAGCATACACTATCAGGATGAGAGCGGATTATGAAATTAAAAGATTGTTGAAATTCCCATTCTATGTTCAACACTATGCTGAAGGCTTTGATACACTTGAGAAGTACATACACTTGTATTTGACCTTCCAAAAGTTTATATTCCAGTTGGACAGAGACCAAATTACACATGGACAACTGCAGGTTAATATTAACATTTAGAAGAACAACCAGGGCTGGGGCTATAGCACAGTTGGTAGAGTGCTTGCCTCGTATGCACAAGGCCCTGGGTTCAATCCACAGCACCACAAAAAAAAAAAAAAAAAAAAAAAGACAGAAAAAGAAAAAAAAATAGAACAACCCAAGATAGTTTATGAGGAAATGCTAAATAACATTTGGTTGTTTATTTTTAATAAGCAAAGACATTTTTTTAAATTTATTTTTTAGTTGTAGTTGGACACAATACCCTTATTTTGTTTATTTGTTTTTATGTGGTGCTGAGGATCGAACCCAGGGCCTCTCACGTTCTAGGCGAGCCCTCCTCTGCTGAGCCACAATCCCAGCCCATAACATTTGGTTTTAAGCCCCCCTGCCCGCCCCCAGTCATATTTTGCAAAGCCATGTATAGTGTTTGTCCTTGTCCCTCTAAAAGCAGATCTGGAATTCCGCTCCACCCCCCGTAGCAGAAAACCCACCTTCCTACAGTTCCCCATTTAGATCAGGCTACACTTCTCTTCTGCTGTCTGGCACTCTCCTGTCCCTTTAGAAGTCACTGACTCACAGCCCAGCTTGCAGAGGTAGAATCCATACACTCTTCTGAGCTGCCACTGCATCTCATGTTTATTCTTGCATTTTCTTTCTTTCTTTCTTTCTTTTTTATTTTTTTGTATCAGGGATTGAACCCAAGGGTGCTTAACCACTGAGCCACATCCACAGCCTTTTTTTATTTTTATTTTGAGACAGGGTCTCTCTTAGTTGCTTGCTAAGTTGCTGAGGCTGGCTTTGAAGCTCTGATCTTCCTGCCTCAGCCTTCCAAGCTGCTAGGATTACAGCGTGCACCACAGTAATTCCTGCATTTTCATTTAGTGCCTGGAATCAGGATTATTTACCGTGTGCCTTTCTTCTCTCTGGGCCATGAAATCCCTGAGCATACGGATAGCATCTTACCCATCTCTCTACTCTTAACACCTTGAATGTTGTCTGACACAGAGTGGGTGGGTCATCAGCAACTATGAATTGCATTTAATCACACTGAATAGAATTTGCAGGTCTTGACTTCAAAGAGTTTCTAGCTTAATCCAAACAAAAGAAAGATATGTGTAAACAACTTTCTGCAGGATAGAAAGAACATGGGATAGTATTAGAATTCTAGGCAGGGGAAAGAGTTAAGTAAAAGGCACAGAGGTTGAGTTTGATGGAAAGAGATGCATAGCAGTGGGGAAGGGATTCTGGAAACCAGACCAAGACGTGCACTTTATCATGTAGCCATTGGGAACCAGTAGGGTTTCTTGAACCAGGGAGTAACAGGATTCATACTATGTTTTTGAGGGAGTTTATTTCAGCAAGATAATTTGGGGAAATAAAGATGAGATGCTAGTATTGCAATCCAGATAATCTAGTACTATGATTCAGGTAAAAAAATAATAAACTGAAGCTACTGTGAAATGCTTATAGTGGAAGCAAGATTTCACATAGTTCTTGAAGAATTGGTAAATTTTATATAGTTCAAATGATCATCCATCAAAGAACATTTAAAATATCATATATATATATATATATATATGTGTGTGTTATTTACATATATGTGTGTGTGTGTGCACATATATATGATATATGATATATATTAGGGGGAAAAAACATACAAACATATATATGTGTTTATGTGTGTTTACTCCAATCTAGTCAATGCTGTGGATGTACTTTATATGGATATAAAATAGGATGCTGTCTCTTCTTCTCCAGCATGATAGTTGTATGCCTACCAAATATCACACTATTAAAAATCCATTATAAAACAGTTACTTCTTTAAAATGAATGTTTTGAGGCTACAGTGCTTTTTTTGCACACTCTTACTACCTTTATTTTCTTTTGTTAAGATAAACCTTTATATTTTGTGCTCTCTATTTTTTCTTTTTCTTTTTAATTTTATTTATTCTAATTTGTTATATATGACCACAGTGTACTCTATATTTTTAGAGCATAAAATAAAAATATATTATAACACAGTTAACTCCCATGGAGTGAGTGTACACAAAAAAGCTTCTCAGAAATGGACCCCAGCCTTTCAGTAAACAGCTGTGGATTCCAGTGTTTAAAGCTGTAGCTTTTTTCTGTGTATGGTTTTCTATTTCCATATTTATTGTATAAGATATGACCTGTAGGACAACACAGATATAAGTTTGTGCTCCTTAACCAACCAAGTGCACTATGTCCCAATGCCTCATGCATAGAAAAATAATGAGTGGAGGGAAACAGACCAAAATTAGGAAATGATCATCTTTGGATTATACAGTTGTGAGAGACTTTTATTTTATGTATATCCCTGATTTTGGGTTGCACTACTTGTATAATCAGGAAAAGAGAAAAGTTTCATAGAACAAGAAGAAGAGAAGGAAAGACAAGGCAAGTTGATTTGCATCACATCAAGCCAGCCACAGAGCATCCTTTTGTATTGTATTGGTATCTTCCCTCAGGTACCAGCACATTTCCGAACAGTACTTGTGAGGCACAGTTTTACTCATTAGGATCATCTACTGATAACACAGTCAATAAATTTTATCATCAATGCCATCTGAACAATGAAAACCACATATATTTGTGTCCGTTCCTTTCTGTTTTCACTAAAGAGCCAACCTCCTGTGGCCTGCCCCCCAGGCTACTGGAGTGTCTCCCTTGCCATAAGTCCTCTGCCCTCCTAGGAGTGGCCTGGTTAATATTGCAGAATGGTGATTGGTCATGTCTAGCCCCCATTCCTTGCAGCTCTTTGCATTCCTGGGTCCTGTGATCACCCCTAGCACGCTCCAGCCAAACTGAGTCCTCATCAGCCCTTCAAAGACCTTGCCCTGTTCCAATAGGGATCACCCCTTCCTCTGTCCTTTCTCACTTAACATCTTGCCTTTTATTTGAGTGTATTTGTGATCCTCTGTGCTCTTGTGGATGCTAACCCTTTCAGTTTTAGGAACCATATTTTGTTCAGCTTTTATATCCACTACCCAATGCCAAACCAAGGCTCTTTCATACAGCAGGTGCTCAGTAACCATGTATTGAATTGAATTAAATCAATACCTCCAGGAACACTTTGACAAATCCAATTAGAGGAAATTATTGTTCTAAACCTACAGCCTAATTACAGTAAATTTCCTGTAGTTTTCCTTCAAATCAGTGGAGTTTTTTTGTTTGGTTTGTTTTGATTTGATTCAGTTTTGTTTGTTTTTTTTAACAGTCTTTATAGAATTTTGGACAACGAGTATTTCCAATTCAATCTCTAGATTGGAAAAATCATTTTCAGAACAAAGGATTACCTTAACTATAAAATGTTACAGCTGTTTTAGCCTTAGTGGGGTTTTACAAATTGCCTTTTCCCCCTATTCTTTTATTTTTAATAAATGTTATATTTTAAAATAGTTTTAGATTTACAGAAAAATTGAGGAGATGGTACAGAGAGTTGCCCTGTTATTACACCACCATTTTCTCCCCATAGTTTCCTCCATTGTTAGTATGGCACAAATGTTATAAGTAGTGAACCAGTACTGATAGGTCATTATTTATGAAAAGCCATGGCTTATGCAGCTTTTCTTATTTTTTACCATAATGTCCCTTTTTCTTCCCAGGATCCCATCCAGGCTACCATGTTACATTTAGTTACCATATCTCCTTAGATTCTTCCTGGCTGTGTCTGTTTCTCAGAATGTCATTGTCTTGATGAGCTTGACCCTTTTGAGGAGTACTGGTGAGAGGTATTTTAGGACGCCCCTCTACTGGAATTTCCAAGGTCCCTTAGGTCAATTGCCTTCCCATCCCCATTCCTCCTCACTGAAGTTGTTCATTCATTTGTGATATAGTTAGATTCTCTTGTCACAGTTTACATTTTCCCTGGCCTCTTCCAACATCCTCACTGAGCTTTTAAAATTTAAATACATTAAGGCTCACTCTTTGTACTATAAAGTTCTATAACATATCTAAATAGATTTGTTGTTCCCCTATTTACACATCCTAGTGAACCCAGTGTCCGAGTTATTTTTTAAGTTATAAAAATGGCAAAAGTTACCATTGTCATTTAGGACTTTTAAACATGCTAATAATTATCCTTATAGTTAACAATTCATCAATTTGCAGAAAGGATATATTTTGACAATAAGCCTGAATGAAATCTCTACTAGGAGCATTAAATAAAACCTTTGACCCAAGACCTTTAGTGATGTAATAAACATTTACTAGGTGCTACTCACATGCCACACCAGTGTTGTTATGAAGAGGCCAGTACTAATGATATCTGATCATTGCAGGAGGGTGGACTTGGCTCAGTGGTAGAGGTGCACCCAGGACAGTGTGACAGCAGAGTGGAGACTGCCTGAACCATCCCCGGCTGGGATGGGTTTAGGGTTGCCTGAACTGCAACATAAAGGTTAAGTTAGCCAGGGGAAAGCAGAAGAGAAAAAAGAACCTTCTAAGGAGAAGGGATGGAGTAAACTCATCAAGGGTTTTATGGTATAATGTGTTTAGGAACCGGCTCTACATTAGGGTTTTTAGGGTTGGGGGGAGGGGGCAGGATTTTATTTAAAAATCAGGTTAGGGAGATAGACAAGGACCAGATAATGGAAGTCCTTTACGCCAGAGCGAGGGGCTTTGAGTTTGTCCTGTGGTTCATGAGGAGCCACTGAAAGTTAAAAGGAGAAAAGTCATAGGGTCAAATTTGTGTTTGCAAGAGCTCACTTTTGCAGCTGTGTGGAGTGACTGAACAGGACTTGGGGGACAGGACTAGAGATGGGGGAATCAGCAAAAATACTGTTGTTCAGATAACAGAGGAAGCTGACTTCACTGGGACAGTTACAGAAAGGACAGAAAATATTTGGGACATGTTTAGGAGGTAGATAGGAAGGGACTAGACTGAATGTGAGGGGTGAATGAGAGAAAGGAGTCCAGGATGGCTTGGAGTTTCTAGCATGGTAATGGCACTCCCTGAGATCACTAAGTCAGGAGGAAGATGATGATGTCAGTTGCCACCCAGGTAGAAATATCCAACAGGAAGTTGAATGAATAAGTTACTGAGTAAAGAGATTAGATTATTTATTTAGGATTATTCTGTAAATGGCTGATTATAATAAAGGTCATAGATAAGAGCATGCCAAAAGGTTATGCAGAATGAAGCAGAATCCTAAGAACCCTACGAACATTCAAGAAGAGCCTCTGAAGGAGATAGGTAAGGAACAGAGGGGTCAATGGAAAACCAGAGAAAGGTCATGATACAAAAGCCAAGAGAGCAAAAAGGATGTGGGGAGCGATCAACAGTTAGCCAGGCATGGAGGTGCACACCTGTAGTGATAGCTACTTGGGAGGCTGAGGCTGGAGAATCAGAAGTTCAAGGTCAGTCTCAGCAACTTAGCACAACCCTATCTTGAAATAAAAAATAGAAAGAGCTAGTATGTAGCTCAGTGATGGAGCTCCCTTGGGTTCAATCCCCAGTACTGAAAAAAAAAAAAAAAAAGTCCCGGGGAAATAATAGCCTCTGTAAAAACATTCAACAAAAGTTAAAACTGTAGAACTTGCTATTGACTAATTATTGACACACAAATCAAATCCTCTCAGTAAAATTTAAACCTTCAGAACTGATCCAAATAAATTGAACTTGGTAAAAGTAGTGACACACTGAAGCCTTTGAAAGAGTATATGGATAAAAAAGACTATTAAACCTTTGCTATGAATTTATGTAGAAAAGAATTGGACCAGTGATAATTTTAGTAAAATAATGATGAAAATGCAAAAAGTAGGAATAGTTTAACTGAAATATGTGGAGAATTAATTGAGAAATTACCCTGCTGGAATTAGCTCTAAAAGTACTTTTTGCATGAAATTCATCTGTATCCACATATTTCTGATTAAAATGTTTGGATAGAATTAGAACATTATCTTGGTAGAAAAATAAGTGGAGCCAAAATACTCTCAACCTTTGGACTTCCTGGGATGGTCTATGGCAGGGAAGACCCTGACTGCTCAGTGTTAGCTGGTAATGGCCACCAGATCCACCCAGCCCCTGACAGTGGCTAAAGGATGTCTGACTGATAAGGAGGAGGAGGGACTCCTTGCCTGGAAGGCCCTTGATAAACACTTCATTCATTGATTTATTGGCTTGTCCCGAGAAGGATTTAAGAAGAAAAGGAAAGAGACAGATAAAATTAAATTTCAAATAAGTGAACAAAGAAATCACAGTTTTGAGAACTAGTCCGATTTACCCATCTATCGATATACCAGAAATTATTACGATAATTTTTTTCTGAGTCTCTGGAACACTATTAATAGCTCCTTTCTGGGACTGAAATATTGAAAATGAAAAGACTTCTTTGAAATTTCTTCCCAAACACATCAGTCCTAGCCTGCGTTGAGTTCATTCAACCCACTGCCCCCGCTTAGTGATTTTTCCAAGTGAATGTCTTGCTATATATTTTCTTGTCTGGACTCACGAGCTCTCTCATCTTTTCACCTCTTTTTGATGAAAATCCTTGAAATATGTCTACTTGGCCACAGAGATGGCATAAATTGGGCATATTTCTTGCTTCTTAGAGTGAATATTTCATCAGGTCCTTGAACTTTCATTCCAGAGGCCACAGATATTTTTCAAATAAGAAACAATTAAAATTGAAGAATAGAAATAATAAAAAGGTGCCATTAATATACCTGAGAGAAATAAACCTTTATCCCTTTCCTGTTTTTAAAATACTCATTTTTAAATAGAGGTAGATGTCAAAATAGGAGAACCAAAAATGTAGCCTTAAAACCTGAAACCATATCACCTGCCGGGCTCTGGGTTTTTGGAGCTCCTGAATCAGAGAATTCCTGTGTCCTGCGAATGAGGCACTTCACAGATTTCTGAAGTCCAGGGGAAGCTCCTGTGGACAGTTGTTCACTCCTTGTTGAGCCCTAGAGCTGTACATATAGGAAACTCAGTCTGTGCCCCCACAGAGTGTGTCCACTCCTGTTAGCTTCTTCTATTGTGTCTTCAGCAGAATAACAAGAGAAAAAAAGTATATCACAATGTAGACTGAATACAGAAATTTTAAGAAGTGCTAAATACTGTTTGAGTTAAGCCATCCTGGTTCTTGGCTGCCCCAATGAATTAGTGTTCTTAATTGATGTCTATTTTTAATAAATAGCACAAAATCTATCTTATAATAACTTTAAGTGCTCCTAATATGTGCTATATGCTGGGTTCTGGGTATATAATGATGAGCAGAGAGACAAAGACTGCCTCACAAATGTATATTCTAAGGAGAGAGAGGAAGAAAATGAACAGAGAATGAGTTAAAGAATTGCACACGGCGATGGGAACTATTAAGAGAAAAAGGGAGAAGAGAAAACAGAGGGGCTGGTAGAATAAGACATAGATGACTTAGGCTTCTTGGAAAAAAAATATCATTTAAAATGAAATCAAATGAATGAAAAGGAGTCAGTCAAAGGGGGAAGAGCTTTCCAAGTAGCGGAAACAGCAAGTGCTAAAGCAGGTCTGCTGGTCAGAGATGGAGGTGGAGGTGGAGAGAGGTCATGAATAGCCTGATAGACCCCAAAGCCGACTGCAGCATTTTTTACATGGATATCAGAAGCCCACTCACTCTATCCACTGGGTAGAGAATAGGAGAAGATGTTTCAGTCGCCTCAGGGACCCCATTCCAGGCATCAGTGCACACTGAAGTTAATATGCAGTGTACTTAAGGCCACTGAAATGCACACTTGAAAACAGTCAAGATGGTGAATTTTATTATATATATTTTACCACAATAAAAATAATTAATATAGACAGGAAATGGTATTCCCTAAATACACCTGACCCTCAGTACTGTTCCTTCCCATTTCAGTCCAACAGGGGCTCCGGGGAGCAATGAGCAGTACAACGTGGGAATGGTCGGGACCCATGGGCTGGAGACCTCTCATGCAGACACCTTTAGCAGCAGTATTTCAAGAGAAGGGACCCTGATGATTAGAGAGGTAAGTTGGTATAATAACTGTGCAGAAGTAGTGCATTTCTTAAGTGGTTTTTATATTAGAGCATTTACAGAGAATGCTTTCAGCATGTATTTTAAGCATGGGGAGTGGGGGAAAAAAACCTGTGCTTCTTAATGGTTGAGTAATTTTAATTGTCTGCTGCCTTCGTTCCTGCATCCTTCTAAGCTTTTGCAGGGTGATTTAATTACATTAGTCCAAATTCTTTGGTAGGAGTTATGCAAATCAGAATATAAAATTTGAGCCTCAGGATATAAAACCAAGAAATCCAGATGTTCCCTACCACAGGAAAGCAGAAATGAATGGTCTCTCTGCAGCATCAGTAGTTTTGTTTTCATCCTTGTGGATTTCTTATAAAAAATTCTCAGTAGTTCCAAGAAGTAGTGATACCATCTTATCTCATTAAATTAACATTTTAAAAGCCAGTACACTATCTTGGTGAAAGAAAAAAGAAACATGCAGATCTGATTTAAAATGTGCCTTAGCATTTTGGGTAATATTTTTTTCTTTTTCTTTTTTTTTAACTCTGGGAATATCATTTCATTTGTGGGGAGGCACATGTGTGCTTTTATGGTCCTTCCAACATGCAGTGGCTCCCCACTGTGTCTGAACCAACCAGAAAGGCCCTGACAAATTAGAGTCACCTTTTCTTCTTTTCACTTCATTATTCACCATTGCAAGTTTGAGAGCAGGTCTCTACTTGGAAAAAATATATATAATAATGACTAGTAACAGTGGGCAATAAAATTAGACCTATTCTTGCATCCATTTTAACATCTATAAAATTCATAAATAGCACTTATAAGATGGTTGAGGTTGTCACATGGGTTTGTGAATAAAGTTAAGTGTTCAATGGAGGTTAACTATTTTATTTCTTTCTCTCTCTCCATAGACTGAATTCTCTTTTTACTTCTTTTCACAACATACTCTTCTATGTGAAACATAAACATTTATCATGTGTCGTTCTCCCTCTTCAGCCAGGAGAGAGTTGGGAAAACCCAATAGCACACTTGACTCTGTAAAAAGGCAGAGGGCATCTCACTTTTGTAAGAAAGAAGGGAACTGTAGTTTGGAGATGAATAAGGCCTTTGAAGTAATAATTGGCAGTAGGGCTATAACTAGAAGACTAGTTCACAAAGCAACTTGCTAGAATTTCATTTTATGGCCTTGTCGAATCTTTCAAGTAGGCTTTAAAGAATCCTTTCACGTAGGCCTTGAGTGGAAAATGGACTTGGCTACTGAGGTTGACATTGTGCAGTGCTGGTAGATAAATCTCCCAGTGTGGTGAATGGATAATTTCAATGGAAGCGTAGAGGGCTTCTATCACGATAGCTTGCCACTTGAGAAAACATGAGGGAGAATGTTCTGGACTGAGTTTCTCTTTAACTCCAAATAAAAGGATTCCAGTTTCTAATGTGTCCTAAAATTTACCTGCATCTTTATGATGGTCAGTACCTCCAACTAGATATTTGGAGCACATTTTCAGGTCTATTGGGGCCACATCTGGTTGACTCCCTCCAGTATTCTATGACCACAACCAATCACCTTGAAAATTGCATTCACCAGTGTCTTGAATGAATTTGATCTACAGAGAGTGACCCTCAAATCTTTGTCCTCTCAGATTCTATATTCTGCTTTTCCCAAATATAGGCTTTTAAAATAAAAATCTGAATTAATCAGGGTTCTCCAGAGAAACAATATTTATAGATATAGATTGATTATGAGGAAGTGGCTTATGATGATTAAGGCTGAGAGGTTCAATGATTGGCCATCTGGAAACTGGAGACCCACAGAAGCTGGCAGAGTAGGTGAAGAAGAGGCACATTCTTTCTTCCTCCTCCTTTTTTTCTATTCATGCTCTCAGCAGAAACACTGATGTCACCCAGTTTGGGGATGATAATCTACTGCGTGTACCAGTTCAAATGCTAACCTCATCTCCAGAAATACTTTCAGACACTCATCCAGAAATAGTGTTTAACCTGGGTACCTGTGGCTCAGTCACATTGACATGAAATTAAATACCACACAACCCTTATGTTAAGATCCATTAAAAGGATGAGTATTAAAATGATAAATGCAGGCTAAAGTAAATCCCTAACAAATAGGAAAATAAGATCTTACTGCAATAAGATTAAGCTTCAAAATCTAAACTGAACTTCTAGTTCAATTCCCCCAAGAAAAACATCCACAGCCTTCAGCTCATTCTCTGCATGTGAGTGGACTAGAGGGTCCTGTCAGTTTACACTGGCTCTGCCACCCCTGATCTTGTCAGATCCACAGATTCCCCGTGTAGCACACACCCCTGTCCCTGTGGTTCTAATTTTCCCATCCTACAGCTCCACAGGAACATTTTTAGTCGAGTTCTAGAACATGCCACACCAGCTGTGGTCTGCCATTTTGTCTACAGGAGGCTGTCAGCTGGACTTTCGGTCCTGTCTTCCCCATGGCTGCTCATTCTTCTCCCAGCAGACCTCTGGTCTGGCTCCAGGTTCCCTTTCTCCTTGAAGTCCCCACTGGAACTCAGCGGGCCTCTGTCCATAGCACCTTCTTGGAATCAGCTGGGATCTCTCCAGTGTCTAACCACCACACTGAGCCAGAACATCACAAGACCTCTTCGTCACAAATGCTATGGAAGAGAACCCACTTGAACACCTCTTAAGGAAAAAATAGTGGAAGAATGGTAGATAACCAGGAATAGGGGAGTAAAGCTTCAGAGGTCTTTCATGGAAAGACCTCTTTTTCCTGACAAACCCGCGTTACCTCCCTCCTTCCCTCCCTCTCTCCCCCTCTCTCTCTTTCTCCCCACCCCCCCCCCCCACAACCTGCTGATGAGGTCATCTCTCTTCCCACCTTTGGAAGACATTCACCACATTCTAGTTCACCTGCTGGCAGTGATTGGCTGGTATCTCCCAGGCAGGGTATTCCATGTTACTGGGAATCTGGTCCCACTTGCCTGAAGTGTCCACCACTGACCTACTTCTGTGGCCAGGAGGACAGCCCCTTAGCCCAGAGCTCCTGGGTTCTGCCCCTAGACAGCCCAGATTTGAACTCTAATGTCACCACTTAGAACTCTTGTCACTTGGGACAAGTTAATTGACTTTCTTGTACTGTGATTTTTTTTTCCATCTGTGAAGTGGGAATGATAAAAGCTAACTCTTGGTATTATTGTGAGGATCCAGTGGAATACTATGCACAAGGTGGTTAGCCCAGCTCGGTACCCGAAGTGTTGGTATACAGAACACCTTAGCTCCCATTCCTATGGGAATGAGCAGGACATAAAGATCAGAGACACCGTTGGGGTTCTGCTAATAAGGTCCTCAAGGGGAGGGCTGGTGTTCATTTCCCTTATCTTCACAGAGTGCCCAGCACACAGAAGGTATCTAATAAGGAGGTTCTGTTTGAATGAACAAGGGGCAGTGACTCAGAAGTGGGCAGACTCCCGGGTCACTGCTTCCTCCTCACCATCTGGGCTGCTTCCCTGCTTAGCCTCTTCCTCTCCTTCTGTGTTACCTAATGTTTCTGCATCGATTTTGGCTGGAGGTTGAATGCTACTGTACGTGAAAGACTGAAAAATTATCAAGGGGCAAGGTGTGATTAATGCTATTGGAAAACTGGGGGAAAATGGGAAAAAGCTTTTCCGTATTTGAACAGGAGTATGGGGAAGTGTGTGTGAAAAGCAGGGACACAAAGATAAATTAGGACTGAACTCCCTTAATGGCCTCTAGAAGTTGAAATGTTTGACTCTGGGAATAGGCACTAGTACAAGCTCCAGATGACCACTGTGTCAACATCCATTCAAAAAGGCCCCTCTCAGGGGGCAGTCTGTAGTCCAGGATTGTGTCGCCAAGAGACAGAGGACACTGGGCTTCCGGTTATTCCACAAGCTTCCCTGTGCATCAGTGGCCTGCACCCTTTCAGAAGCTTAGGAGGCTGTTTAAATGCCTACTTTTACTTGCAGACAGGCAGGTACAGAGCTGTAACTGGAGACCAAGACGGGCTCTGGAAGGAGAGAGCCAGGTCAACGAGATGGTCAGAGGATTGACATGAACATCTTTCCTTCACCAGCCCCAAAGAGAGTGTTCCAAGTGCACACTTAGTTTCACACGCAGTAGGCACTCGAAAGTGTTGAGCTAATGAATGAATGAAAGAAAAGGCAGAGAAGAAAACCATCCCTTTGGTCTCCTCTAAGAATCCTCAGTGAGGTAGTCACATGTGAAATCAAAAAACACAGGATGATGTCCAGCAAAGGCAGCCATCAGCGGGAGAGAGCCTGCCTGCAGAATGGGAGAAAACATCTGCAAACTACCTCTGATGAGGATCGACGACCAGGAAAAATAAGGAAACTCAAGAACCTCCATAGCAAAAAAAAATGAACTCAATTAAAAAATGGGCAATAGCTCTAAAGAGACATGTCTCCAAAGAAGACTTACAAATAGCCAACAGGCATATGTAAAAATATTTATTGTCACTAATCAACAGGGAAATGCAAATCAAGATCATAATAAGATATTCCCTCACCCTACCTAGAAAGAATGGTTGTTATCAAGAAGACTGATAGTAAGTTCTGGAAAGGATGTGGAGACAAGAGGACTCTTAGACCCTGATGATGGGAATGTAAATTGGTACAGCCATCGTGGAAAAGAGTATAGAAATGCCTCAAAAAAAAAAAAAAGCTTCCATATGATCCAACAATGCCACTCCTGGATATAAATCCCAAGGAACTGAAATTGGTGTGACGAAGAGACATCCAGTGTTTATAGCAGCACTTTTCACAATAGACAAAAAATGGAAACCACTTCCGTGCCCTTCATCTGATGAAGGGTTAAAGAACATGTGGTACGTGTACACAGTAGAGTACCATTCAGCCATGAAAAGGATGATATCCTGCCTTTGTGACAAGATGGATGGAACTGGAGATCATTATGATCAGTGAATGAAATCAGGCACAGAAAGAGAAGCACCACATGATCTTACTCATATAAGGAATCTAAAAAAGTTGATCCATAAAAAATTAGGGTAGAATGGTAGTTATAAGAGGCTTCGGAGAGATGGGGAAAGGATAGTGAATGGGCACTAAATTATAGTTACATAGGAGGAAAAAATAAAGAAGTGTAAGACTAGCCAGGCCTATGATCTGGGCATGGCTTTTGGGGACCAGAACTGTTTTTTAATCCTGTCTTCATCCCCAGGATTTTGGGCAAGAGACTGCTCACCAGAGCAGTGTTTTCCAAATATGTTAGAGCATATAACCCTGTCAGTAAAAATTACAGAGCATCCATATAGAGCATGCTCGGTGGTCGTCCTGCTGCATGAATACATGTATTATAAAGTACCCTTAAGAACATTAAAAGAGATGCTATAAACAGTATTTCAAATGCTTCGCTAGTCACCATGACTTCGTTTCTTTACTGCCTACATCACAAAGCACCATCATTATTTACGGAGAAATTGGACATTAATGATAGTGGATATAAATCCCTATTTTCAAACAGTCTTCTAGATCATTTTAATGTTTCTTTGCAACCCCTGTCAGATCTGATTAGTTCATTATTATTTTGACCTTGTGAGTGACAAAGAGCCCTGTTCGGTAAGTCTGATCTCTGCATTTCCTTAGAAAACAGTTGTACAGGAATTGTTAGTATTGCCACAGGCCACTGCTCCTTTCCAACAATATTTCAGGTCATGGATCTGTGTTGTGTGTTTGTTTCATGGTAACCTCAAAATATGGTGTGTAAATCCAGTTAACCAGTAGTGTGTGCACGAGCCTACACACACACACAAACACAGAGACACACAAACACTGTGAAGAGAAACTTGCAGTGTGGGCCCTGCTCAGCTCTCCATCTGGCAGCGTCCCTGTCTCCCCACAGGAGACCCTCACACCACACATGACTGTCCCTCATGCAGGAGCATTAGGCTCGGGGTCAATCCATTTAGTAAATATTAGCAAAGCTTAATTTTTAAAAAATTTTCTTAAGATAGAAATGTGAATATTACCTTCCCACATCCCAGTCAGTCAGTTTGGAGTCCTTGGCCCCTGGGCTGAGTGAGGGGTGACATTGCTCTAGGGCACTTTCTTCCTTCTCTAATGACCGCCCTGTGTCGTGCTCCTCAGACGGCTGGAGAGAAGAAGCGATCTGGCCACAGTGACAGCAATGGCTTTGCTGGCCACATCAATCTCCCTGACCTGGTGCAGCAGAGCCACTCCCCGGCTGGGACCCCTACCGAGGGCCTGGGACGCGTCTCCACCCATTCCCAGGAGATGGACACCGGGACTGAAGTAGGTGCTGGGTTCTCTTCAAGAACAAGGCCTTGCCAAACTCCTCACAGTGTGTGGGTTGGTTTCTAGTATTCAGGTGTGGGTACAGATATTTAGGAGGAGAAATCATAGATGCAGAGTAGTGAAAAGTTTTCAGATATGGTCTGGACCAGTTCCTGTTTTTATAGATGAAAGTACTGAGGCTTGGAGAGGTGAAGTGACTTGTCCGAGGTGCACAGCTAGTTTAGGGTAGAGCTCCTGTGCCACAAGCCAGTGGTAGAAAAATCTGTTAGTCAGTGCTCATAGGAGTCATTGACCATTTGGATGAGTTCATGGGGCATGGTCATATTTCATGAATATCCCCATGAATCACACCAAAAGCCTAAGTGTGTTTCTAAAGCCTATGCACTGTGGCTTCTAACATTGTCCCCACACTGGATTTTTATGATGTCTGCTTTGGATTCTAAAGTTATGAGCAGATGAGCTTTGCATGCCCCAAGGAAAAGAACACGGGGCACATTGGAAAGTACAGCATCCTATTGCAGCTCTTGGAGCCGGTGCCAGCTCACATGCAGCCCAGCCACAGTGGAAGGGCCCAAAGGCCACCCCTCCAATAGGGAACTTCTCAGGTTGACTGTGTGCCCAGGGTGACATGCTGCTGTGTAGACATGCTTTTTCTAGTTTATTGCCCATTGTGTCAGCTTAAGACCATTTGACCAACATGATATTGCTTTTACTTAAAGATAAAATGTTATCTTCCAGGTAAGATATTGAGGTGCTATATGTCACCCAAAACCTCATTTTCTTGTTGCAACTCTTAGAGACTGATAGTTGCCCTACAAGTGCAAACTGGAGCAATTGAAGAGAAGCACACACTTTGGCAGGGGGTTGGGTGTGTGCAGCTGAACAGATTGAGGAGTCTGCAGCCATTGTAAAGCCCACACAAGGTATTATTTAGCACTGTCTGTTCCTGCAGTATTTATTTATCCATTTTTCCTGATCTCCCTGTTTATTGAGCAGTATGGTATGGGAAGCAGCACCAAAGCCTCCTTCACCCCCTTTGTGGACCCCAGAGTATACCAGACATCTCCCACTGATGAAGACGAAGAGGATGAAGAATCATCCGCTGCAGGTAAGTGAGAAGGCCCTGGTTTTTTAGCAGCAAATCAATTTTCTTTCTGGTGTGGCCCTGATGAGAAAATTAATCATTATTTCATTAGTTAAGCCATTTAATGCTTAGGCCATGCCTTAAAAGGAAGATCTTGTTAATTATTATTTTTGTAGGATTCCTAAAACAAATCTCTCTCCTTCCTCCCACCCCATCTTTTCTATTTTGCTTCTGGTAGGAATCCAGAGGTATCCAGGAGCCCTAGGAAAAGCTGTTCCCCAGCGATCTCTGAACTTACCACATATTTCCCAAAAACAATTTCTGGGTACAATGCTATGCACGCAATAGATATTTAATAAGTGTGTGTTGGATTGTGTTGAGTTCTAGGTGTGCGCTTCCCACCACAGAAGCCTGGCTGACTTGGAGCCTGGACTTGCTTTCTGAACTTTTGTAACTCACTAATCATTAAAGTCACCGTAGGCCAACTTTCCCATTGAGAATGTGAAATTTCCAAAATCAATCTTACATGCATATATTTACAGGAGGTGGTGATGATACATTTAATTTTATGAGATTAATATTAATTTTCTAAACCATCCAAATAGTATCTGTGAGGCTGTTTGGCTAGTGAATGGGGCATGGTCATATTTCATGAATAACCCCATGAATCACACCAAAAGCCCTAAGTGTGTTTATAAAGCATATGCTTCTATGACTTACGCTTTATTCTACTAAAAAAAGAGTAAAATAGGTATAATTTCAGAGTTTCTGTGCCCTTCCTATAATACATACTAAACAAGGGGAAATCAGTGTTTTGAAGCCCCTTCTCCAAATCTCCACTGGTTATCTTTTAAGATGCCATTGACTTTTCTGATTCTTTTTCTCAAAGCTCTGTTTACTAGCGAACTTCTTAGGCAAGAACAGGCCAAGCTCAATGAAGCAAGAAAGATTTCTGTGGTAAATGTAAACCCAACCAACATTCGGCCTCATAGCGACACACCGGAAATCAGAAAATACAAGAAACGATTCAACTCAGAAATACTTTGTGCGGCTCTGTGGGGTACGTCGGTACTTTTGTCCTTGTTCATTAATGAATTGGCCCTCAAACGTCAAATGCCTGTGGATTTTACCATGAGGAAACACTAATTGAATGGAAGGGGTTAGCAGCCTGGGACTACCTTGGCCTCCAGAGAAACCAAAAGCAGTGCTGTATGTAGAGAGAACCTAAACCCTACCATACCTAATGCCAAGGATGACTTCTATAGCAATGGGCGAAAGGCAACCACAGAACCAGCCACCACTTCTTACACACCCATTGTGTTCCCACTGGGTGATGTGCCCCACATTCTGTCTCTGTGATCCCTGCAGCATCCTGCAAGGGGGAAATGGCTGTACCTTCATTTCACAGTCCAGTGCAGGATAATTTAGTGAATGCCTCAAGGCCATACCATCAGTAGTAAGAGAACTTGAAATGAACAACAAATGATGAGCCTTCCCTTTTAGTTCGCATCATCCACGTGCAATTCTCGTGGAAGTGATCTGCAGGTGTTAACTGACCTCCTACTCAATATAGGCATGATGAGAGTCTATCAAAGTCCTGGTCTGGGTTACTGTAAGCATCACAGACAGATCAGGACATGGCCCATCTGTGTCCATCTAGGCCTGAACAGGGCTACCATACCTTCATCTAAAAGCATTTGGAATGTTAGCAAGAAAAGTGTGCAGTCTGGGGATCGTTTCCTAAGAGGTATGATAGCTCTATCCTCTGGGGATGAGACAGGACAGCAAGATAGCCACAGTTCATATGGCAAGGCTTAACGGGTGGATGAAAGAGCAGACATGTTCTCAGAAGATAGAAGTACCAAGAAGAGAGGTTCAAAGGGGACATATTTATGAATATAGTCCACTGTGCAGTGAACCTCTTGATGTATGTATATTGTGGTGGGTGGATGATTGATGTCTTGAAGTATGAATCTTTAGGATGCTAAACTGTCCAGATAAGACCACTTACCTGCCAGAGCTTTTGCAATCAGGGTGTCTCCATGCCAGGTAGGATGGACAAGCATTAGACCCCTGAGAACTCTCTTAAAGTCAGCGTTCATGTGACTCTCTATCTGTTAACACCCTCTCTGGATGTCCTGTTTCCCCAACAGGAAGCTGAGCCTGGAGTGTAGAGGACATAAGAGAGTCAAATTTTGATTTGAGGAGGAGGAAGGGCTTTTGTTCCCATGGAGTATAGAAATGGAAACTCTATTGGATGCCCAAGGTAGATAGTTAGGTTCCTGAGAAATAACTGCAGGAGTAAATGTGGGGTGAACACTGGGGAAAGAGAAGTGGATTATTTAAGGAAAGCCACGAAAGAGGCGGTTGTTACAGGAAGGAAATAAAGGGAAATTGTGCCACCTTCACAGCTGTGCCTAAGGCTCCCCTTGACAAGGTTTCTCTGCATTAGGTAGTAAATGGCTCGATGTAATGAATGCAGCTACCACTTTATAAAAGAAAACTGTAATTCCATTACTAGAGGGACAGTGATTTAATTACTGTGCCGGAGTTTCTACACTCCCTACTGTAGTGGTGACTTGCCCATTATTTATATTTACAAAGCAGTTCCTTAGGTGTTATGGGAACCCCAGATGCAGAAGGTCAAAGCTCACAGAAAGTCAGTCTTAGGGTGTTTCTTAAATTTGCAGGTGTAAACCTTCTGGTGGGAACCGAAAATGGCCTGATGCTTCTGGACCGAAGTGGGCAAGGCAAAGTGTATAATCTGATCAACCGGAGACGATTTCAGCAGATGGATGTGCTAGAGGGACTAAATGTTCTTGTAACAATATCAGGTATGTTACCAGGTCGATCACCATGGTTCCCCAGGTCTGTGCAAGTAGGAAAGGTAATTACCTCGTTTCTGAAGAAATTCAAAACTCTGCCGTTCCTGTCCAAGAAGCATCACAGAAAGTGGTAACAGGGTGGCCAGCGTGAGATCACCCATTGGGAAGCCTCTCACCTCTGTATTAAATCTGAGTGACACAAAATGTTCCACAAAAGCTGTGCATTCATGGTTCTTTACCTCTATCAGGACTCGGCAAGGATTTTTTTAAAGATGCCAGCATCCTGAGATGGAGAATGTCAAAATGTAGGCTCCTGGGAGGAGAATTGAGTAAACAGAAATTTCTCTGAGCTCTTCTCTTCTCCCACTTGTGGTCCATTGATATCTTGGGAAGTGCAGCTGGACCTTTGGGGTGACCAAGTCTTCAGAGCAGAGGGAGCCAGTCATAACGCTACACTCTGTAGCTCTTCCGAGTTCCCAAAAGAGATTTTTCTTTTTTCTTTTTCTTTTTTTTTTTTAAGGTTGGAGATAAAAGTGAAAGCCTTATTATTTTTTAAATATATATATGTGTGTATATATATATATATATATATATATATACACATATTTTTTTAGTTGTCAACGGATATTTTGTTTTATTTATTTATATGTGGTGCTGAAGATAGAACCCAGGGCCCCATCATATGCCAGCAAGTGTTCTATCACTGAGCCACAACTCCAGCCCTGAAAACCTTATTATTGGTAAAATGCATCCCGAAAGAGTCTGTGTTTGTTGAAAGGAAGGATTTTTTTTTCTTTCTCATAATCCTTGAAGGAGTTTAGCAAATGCCCCCTCTCCCTCCCAGCCCATCTACTCATGGAGCTACCTGGGGAGAAGTGAAAATAAAAGCTGCACCGCAGACCAGGGTCAGGATCTCTGGGAGTGGGGCCCAGGCATGCACAGCGTTCAGAGCTCCCGAGGGGTTTCCATCATGCAACCAAGTTTGTGAACAGGGATCTACACTCAGCTTTCACAACACAGAGACAATGCAACCTTGCACTGAACCTCAAGGAAAGTTTAACTCTTCAACTGTACTTTATATTTGGGGAAAATGCTTCACTTGACACCCCAGTTCCCTGTTTATTTTACCTTTCCACTGAATGCTTAGAGATTTGTTTTGCTTTGTTGTTTGTTTGGTTTTGGGACTAGAGATTGAATTGAGGAGTGCTCCACCACTGAGCTACATCCCCAGCCCCAGTTTTTATTTATTTTGGGACAAGGTTTCACTAAATTGCCAAGGGCCTTGCCAACTTGCTGAGGCTGACCTCGAACTTGCAATCCTCCTGCCTCAGGCTTCCGAGTCACTGGGATTACAATTGTACACCCCTGTGCCTGGCCAAGGACTTGTTTTATCCTTCCCCAAAACGGGTTAACCAAGTCAATTCTTCCTGTATTGTGAACTGAGTTTAATTCTGTGTAGTCCTTTGTTCTGGCTAATTGCTTTTTTGATTGCTACATTACCAAATCAAAATTAGAAGCACATGTCTGTCAGTCATCTACCCAAAGTGGAAATGCTACCAGAAAATTCATGTTCGGGCTTTATTATGTTGTTAGTAGCACATCCTCATTCTTAACTATTTCCTGTTATCATGAGGCACAGATGGGGAAAAGAGAAAATTAAAATAGGAGCACAAGGTGCTTGAGTTGCCCTTGGATCCATAGTGTCATAGAAAGGAGGAAGCACTGGTGTCCCTGCCCCTCCTGGCTGTCCTGAGCAATGCATGTTCTACCTTCTGGTTACAAAAGCGAATAGCCACTGCATCATGACTCCTGGATTTCAGGTCCGAATACACCAACTCTTGTGTCAAATCCAGCGCATGGATTCTCTTCTTCTGGTATATATCACATCTGTGAAATGTAAAACATCTTTAAAGACAAAGAGAAATCAAAGGGAAATAAGTTTTCAAGAAGTAAAACCTACATGCCCATATTTCTCATTACTTAGGAAAAGCCACCCCAGTGCTCCTCAGATAATCTAATGGAGATAATCTCCATTTTCCTCTTTGCATGCTCTTCCTGAAATCCAGTGGTTTTCTTACCATCCTATGAATTCTTTACTCCAGATCACTTTAGTAAAAGGAGCTTCCAAGTTGTTTCCAGATCCACATCTTTTTTCTTCTTTCCCATATTTTTTTCAGTGACCACAGCCCCTTGAACCTGTCCAATATCAATTTCTGAACCCAAACTGCCTTTGTTGAACTTGTCTCCCTGTCTCCTTCTAAAATCCTTTTTTTCGTTAGTTAGATAAAGCCACTAACAATTGTCATCTCTAATTCACTAAGTCCCCAGTTTTTAATTCTGCAAATATTTCAGTGAAATTGACACAGATGCATTAAAGTAAGTTAGAAATCATAATCTAGAGCTTCTATATTATAGTGTTCATTGGTATTAATTTAAATATTACAATTATTGCAAAATAGTTTTATATGTATATAATTATATTGTCTACGATAGTTTAAGTTTTTATAGGTATTCCACATCTGGGATCGTAGGACAAAGTAGGTTCAAGGGATAGAGAAGAGGCTTTCCATTGCCATCCACTGCCAGGTCAGAGTGTGAGGGAAAGACAGGACTCCTGAGGAGCTAAAACGCTCAGCTGTCAACACTGCTTCATGGGCTCAGATCTAGAATGTCCTGAAACTATGATCAGCCATGCTGTTTGTGGCAGACTTGGGTCTTAGTGAGTTTAGCAGATGCTGGCAAGAGAGAAAAGAGCAGCTTGCTCAAGTAAGAAACCACCTGAAGGTAAAGACAGATTGTAATTTTGTAATTTGTCCAAAACACTTGGAGCTGTTTAAACCACAAGTCCTGCTAGAGAAAACACTTTAATTGTGAAGCACGGGGGACGCTGGTTATTACACTCTCACACACACAAACTGTAAACAAAAAGATGGAAAAAAAAATGGAGGTAAGGGAGGAGGGGGAAAAAAGCTATCACAGGGACTTGGAATTAAAGCTCTGCTGTTTCAACAGGAAAGAAGAATAAGCTGCGAGTTTACTACCTTTCATGGTTAAGAAACAGAATATTACACAATGATCCAGAAGTGGAAAAGAAGCAAGGCTGGATCACCGTCGGGGACCTGGAAGGCTGTATACATTACAAAGTTGGTAAGTCTCCAGACATGGGATTGCAAATTCAGTGTATTTACTTCGTCAGAGTTATTCAGTTAAGTTTCATTCAGTTTTTCAGTCAGATATTGATGATGCCTATGTGACCAGCTTAAGATGTTGCTGGAACCTAAAAGTATATTCGAATTATTCCCCCAGAAGTCAAATTTGTGAAGTTCAAAGGAAGCATTCAGAATTAAGTCCTAGGCTCCAGTTTCAACTTTTATAGGTACTTCCTCCCAAGGACACATTAAAAGAATAAAAATGTACTATGCCTACAAGGTCAAAGGGACTAAGAGGAGAGAAGCCAGCAAACAACAGATGTCAATAAAAGTGAACAAGAGGAACAGACCTAGCAGACCAGGAAATGCTAAACCTATAATCGGGAAAATTATCAAAATAATCCAGTCACTCTGCAGAACACAGAAAGGCCCAGGGACTGAGGGCCCAGGAGAATCTGAGGCAGAGTTATAAGGTATGTCTGAAAAAGGAAGGATTTGGGGGAAGCGGATCAAAGCTAGGCCTCCAGGACCTTCCCAGCAGGCAGGGTGCTCCCTCCCTCACTACAGCAAAAGAGGAAAGGTTTACATGGCCAGTTGATGGTGGGCATCCTCGTGAGGGCATACTTATGCATGACCCTCCCTTTGCCTCTTTAGCTCCCAAAGTGTTGGCAACCATGATGATGATCATATTCTCAAGGAAGAGTTTGAAAGACTTGTCTTTGAAGAAACTAAATGGCCAGAAAGAAAAGATGTACAGGTACTAACATTTGAAGTTATGAAGAAAAAGGTCTGCTATCTAGCTACTCAGCAGTGAATCCTAGCAGCTGATAGGTCTCCTATAAATAAGTGGAGACAGGGAACATGAGGGAAAGTGAAACAGAATTTAAGGACCTTAGAATAAACAGAGATAATGAGGAGTAAAGAAAATATAGGGAGAAAAGGAAGGAAAGAATTTTAGAGGATTAGACAAATTGTTTTGGTATCAGAAGAATAGGGCTGTTTAGAAAGGGAGAGCAGGTGGGGAGAGATCATTAAGAAACCAATCTTACAAACTGTCGCATATTGGCAGAAATAAAAATTTTAATAGAAATGTTGAAAGATAAAGATGAGGAAATGTCCTAGAAAGAAGAATAAAAGAAAAGGGAAAGGAAAGAAAAAGAGAAGAAAAAATTAACCCAGATGTTCAAAATCTGAGTCTTAGAAAAAAGGGAAAAAAGAGGAATGTAAGAGACTTTTCTAGACCCAAAGGCCTTGGCATCCCAGATTAAAAGGATTCTGAGTACCCAATATACTTACTTTAAAGAAAAAAAAAAAGACTTCAAAGAAGGCCCACCAACTGATATTTCAGTACCAAGATGGCAGAAGTCCTTAAAGCTTCTGTATTCTAAGTAAATTGATAAACATTTTATATATAGTAGATACAGAAACAGAGGCTTGGTACTTCTCAACAGCAATCCTGGAAGTTTAAAACTTCTGCCTTCAAAATCTGAAGGCAAAATTATTTCTAACTTATATTTTGTAACTGTCAGTATTGGGGTTCATATGTTTGTGTGTGTGTGTGTGTGTGTATTATAAGGAATTGGCTCTCATGATGATGAGACCATGAAGTCCCTGCAGTCAGCAAGCTGGAGACCCAGGGGAGCCAATCTTGTAGTTTCAGTTCAAAAGCCAGCAAGCTCAAGACCCAAGAAGAACTGTTGATGCAGCCTGAGTCCAAAGGCCAGAAAAGACTAAGTTCCCAGCTCAGTCAGGCAAGAGGATGCAGACTTTTGCTTTTATCCAAGTGTTCAATTGATCAAATTGTACCCACCTATTCTGGGGAGGACAGCCTGCTCTCATTTAGAAACGCCCTCACAGACACATGCAGAATAATGATTGACCAAATATTTGGGCACCCTGTAGCCCAGTCAAGCTGACAAATAAAATTAATCATCATATCATCAAACCATTGATCAACTTTGGTGCAAAATGAACAAATTTTCAGGTGTGCAGGGTCTCTAAAATGAAAATTTCACACACCATGCTCAGTAGCTACCAGAAGATGTGTTCCACCAAAATGAAGAACTAAACCTGGTAATCCAGGAAAAAGATGAAGAAAATACCCAGAATAATGGTGAAAGGAACCAAAATGATAACTCTGCCACTAGCCTAGAAAGAAATCAGTCCCAGCTCAGTAGGACGATGCAGGATTCCAGGAGAGTGACTTCAAGAAAAATAAAATGGTACCAATGGATTCCCCGCTGCGGTTGACCATGATAAAAGGCGTGTCTTAGCACAAAGTTTACACATGCTTAGAGTAGGTAAAATAGGGTAGTGAGGAAAAATTAAGGAAATGTAATTATGGTATATCACATGCCCCAGCTGTGAACACTGACAATTTGAACACTTCATGTTGCTTTAACCAAAAATATAAACTCTGTGTTGGAGGTGTGAGGGAGAAAGTGATTTATGTGTATGTAGAGATAAAAGGAGATTATATAAGAAACTACACCCTTTTCTTATTGTGAGGTTTGGTAGATAGTGTCTACAATTGAAGAAAATAAAAAAAAAAAAACTGAATAAGCACATTACTTGGAAATCTGGAAATAAATTGCCAAATAAGAAGTTTAAAAAGTTGCAAGTATTTGTTTGTGGGAAACAGGACTTGGGGCTGAGGCAGTTTTTTATATGCCTTATATGACCATTTGACTTTTTAAAATATGTTTCTATAAAACATGTTCAAAGTTGATTAAAATTAAGAGAATGTGTGGAGGTTGTTAAATGTGACCTGGATAAGATGGATTATTTAATGTAAGGAGTGTCCATAGAGGGGCAGCAGAGTAGCTTTCCACACCTTCACTTCAAAAGTGTCTGTGACATAGTGACAGAAAAGCATGGTGCACAGTTGATATTGTTACCTGAAGAGCTGGTCCAATCGTGTGTGTTATGTGACAGAGGCTGAAAGCTACTTAGGTGTGTTAAAGACAGAGTATGAAACAGGGCCATGCTACAGAAGAGCTCAGAAAGCAAGAATTCGGTCATTTGGCCCGTCCTTGCAAGAACCCCAGTATGTTGTCTTCTGCCAACTGAAGAGGGGACTGTTCTGAAGCAAAGTCTTCATGTACCTTTCCTCTAATTTCATTTCAAGTGACCTTCCCAGATATCTTGACACTAGGAAGCATTGGTGCTATATAGTGAACTTGAAGGTTCCAGTGCCTAAAGGGATAAGCCCCCACTATTTATTTGGGTTTTATTTTTTAAAAAATTATCCTTACAACACAATGAGCTTATTAGTATGCATTTAAAGCAGGTGTTGAAGAAAATAAACATTAAATGCCTGTAAACATATGTGACCACAGCTGCAGTCAAATCTAGCGTAGGCAATGCACAGAGAAACAAGTTAAGTGGTATTTTTAAAGACAGGAATGGATGCTCAAAAGACACAGTATTATTCACAAACTAGACCACATGGGGGAGCATTTTTCCATAGCAAGCTGGGAAGGTACAAGCTCTTCTCTGCTCCACTGTATATTTTTGTGGGATTCAGAATTATTCAGTACTTGCTAATAAGATTCCCTAGAATTCTAATTTTTTTCTTGTTTGTAATCTGATTATTTGGCAAAATATCAAACAAGCATCTCATTATTCTTACCAGGAAGAATGCAGATTCATATGCCCATTTGTCTTCTTTTAGAGTGTAGGCTTCTTTTGGGGGGAAATAGATCCTGCATTCATAGGAAAACAATGTAGTTTAAGTACTACTATGGAAACGGTTTGAAAGCTATTTCTAGATACTTCTCTCATAAAACTTTTAGGATTTTCTTTCAGTATTTTACCTTTATTACTTGGCATTTGTAATATTCCTAATGATCAAATGTTATGTACAAAACTAATATTATATAACTACAGAGCAATAAAATTCATTACAGGAAATAATAAAGTTTGTGTGTGTTATCTCTTGCATATACCTGGCAAGTATTCTTTCAAATCTCTGAAGCTGCAAAAGTCCTATGGCTCTAAATGTTAGAAGGGCCAGTGCAAATCTGATCTCTTCCTCCTAATCACTGCTATCTCTTTTCATTGCCCTAACATTAGAAGACTGACGTATACGGATACATGCAAAATGAAATATAACCGGAGAGCAATAACTGATCATTATCTACCAGAATATTGAGACAAGTTTAATTTTCAGAACATTTTTTGCCTCAGTTATCCAGAGAACTACTTTGGGCTCCATTTTGCTTTCTTTGAGGGATTTCAGTCAAAACACTGAGATCTTTTTATAGTGCCTGGTTACTTTAGTATACTCAAATTTACATGAAATTTTAAAACCATAAAATGGGAGAAAACAGAAAAACAAGTTATATATCCAAGATTCATTTATATTTATCTATTGCTCTTAGCCTATATATATTTTGATACACTTGTATTTTCAAGGCTATTTTAAGCTTTAGTCTTGAATCTTTGCATAAGTTTTAAGTGAGACGATTAGAGAATAATCTTATAAAGTATTCATATAATGAAAAATTGTGGAGACAATTGGAAACTTAACATGTCATCTAATAAGTGCATTAGTATTTTCCTACCCAGTTTCTTCAGGATAGAGAATATTCCTTTTCAACAGATATTTTATGAAGAAAACGCCTGGTATGTGCATCAGTTGTAGATTACAGACTTTCTAAGAATTAAAATCTACATTTAATATTTAAAGATCCTGAGGCATTTAAAGGATTCTGTAACCTCTCAAGGTCATCACTATAAATATCAATCACTATGGTATCAAAGACACATAGGCCACAGAAGATCAGACAACAAAATATATTCTTCCATTCAATAAACATTATTATTACTTTGTATAAGGTAAAAATAAAATAGACAACAGTGAAATTTTATCAAGATTCTATCCATGGAATTTAAAATGTTTAATATTGCACTTTCCCAGAGAATAAAAAGGAATTGGCAAAGTATGTGAAACTCTTAAAAATAGGCCATTATCAGAATTCAGGTCTCCTAATATTCCAAAATTCAATACAAACACAAACAAGCAATTATTCTACTTAATAATTAGAACTTGGGGCTGGGGATGTGGCTCAAGCAGTAACGCACTCGCCTGGCATGCGCGGGGCACTGGGTTCAATCCTCAGCACCACATAAAAATAAAATAAAGATGTTGGGTCCACCGAAAACTAAAAAAATAAATATTAAAAAATTCTCTCTCTCTCTCTCTCAAAAATAAATAAATAACTAGAACTCTAATCTGAATAATAAGCAATTGGCACCTTTTATGTCTCTACCCATTTGCATTTTTTCTACCACCTTGCCATACCAGCTTTAGCTACTTACATTTGGTTGAACCTAAAATCCAGGTAAAGTAATATAAAAGACACACACACACAAAAAAGATTCTGCTGACTAGGTATGGTAAAGGAAGTGAAATCTGTATCTATGAAAAAAATCCCACGCCAGGAGCATCACCCTCAAATATGGAGTGTGTATATGTGTGTGTATATTTACATCTTGTGACTTATACATTCACTGATACAAATTATTGAATAAATTGATGTACTTTTTAATTTACAACTATTCTATTACAGTTAAATATGAAAGGATCAAATTCTTGGTGATTGCCTTAAAGAATGCTGTGGAGATATATGCCTGGGCTCCTAAACCATATCACAAGTTCATGGCATTTAAGGTAAGTGGGCCTGTGATTGCTTGGTTTTCCGTTTCCTCCAGCCATCTGTTCTCCACATAAACCAATACCAATTTTACTACATATGACAAATAATAAACCTATTTTGGAACTGTAGGAACTCATAGATTCATTATTTTTAAAACTACTATGAGATTAGTCAAACTAAATTTCTTTAAATATTTATTTTTTAGTTGTAGTTAGACACAATATCTTTAATTAATTCATTTATTTTTTTATGTTGTGCTGAGGATCGAACCCAGGGCCTCGCATATGCTAGGGGAGTACTCTACCGCTGAGCCACAACCCCAGCCCAGTCAAACTAAATTTTATGTTTACCTTCCTTCATTTGAGATCTGCAAATCATCATCTGCAAGAGACATTTGGTACAAGATGGTTACCAGGCAAAGTATTGATTATGATGCTGTGCAATGATATCTGTTTTAAAAGCATCTAGAGTGTTATCTGGTGTTTGGGCTCAAAAGGGCAGACCACTGGCAGCACTGAATCTCCAAGTCTTACAATCATGAGGCTTTCTGGACCAAGTCTCTAAAACTCAGTTGATGCTATCTCCCTGTTGCTATTAGACTTCCCTGAAATGAACACTGAGTGTAGTCATTCATGGAAATGACCTAGTTTTTCTGCATTTTCCCAGGGGATTCATGAGATTGAGTAAAAGTGGGATCGGAATATGTTTAATCCCATCTGCCTCAGCTCATGAAAGCTGACCCCCAAATGCCAGAAAGACTTGTACTTGCAAGCCCCCTGATGTGTTCAGACTGCATAGCCAGTGTGACTTTATCTTCTGTTTTCTCTCTGCCTGTGTCTGTCTGTCTTTCTCAGTAGCTCTTTGGCCCTTGACTTTTCTCCATTTTTATAATTACCATCTCTCTTTGGCTTTTTATTTATTCTCTCCTGCCACATATGTCATGTGGGAGCCAAAGCTGTCCCTCTTCAGGGCTGAATCACCCCACTTCTCTGTTGTTCCCTTAGTGCAAGTGGCTCATTTGTGATGTGCTCAGGAAGACAGATTGATCAGTGGAAATGGGCTCCCCTCCATAACCCCACTTTTATGGAAAGGAATTTTTGGAATGCATTAGGTTCATAATAACACTTAAGGGATGTCTCCGAAAATCTAATGTGCTGCTGCTCCTATTGTGCCAAATTCTCTCCATAAAAGCTTTTCAGTGGAGATCCCATTCCCATTCTGACGTTGAAGTCACTGCCATCAGGTTACTAGCCAAAGCAATGAGAGAGTGCAAAATGCTCTGTTCAGCAGACCCGCCCCAGCCTGCAAGAGGGAAAAGCAAAGGCAAGAACTTGAATAGGGAGAACTAGAGCTGACCCCTAGGGACAGGAGGGGAACGCTTCCTATGCTGTGAGATGCTAGCAGAAGATGAGGGGAGAAGGGTATGTTAGGTAGCAGCGATAGTATCACCAGGGCAATGGTGGTTTCTCAAATCCTCCCCTAGATTTCAAGATGCAGTAAAGGTAGTGTGTGAGTAAGTCGTAGCAAAGGAAGAGGAACACTCAACAGCTGGTTGGGGCTTTGGTCCACAGAAGCTCAGCTAGAACTTTCTAGTTAAACCTTAGTTGTCAATGCAAGTCATAAGTCTTGTGATATTTCACCTCCATCCCTTTCTCTTATTGCCCAAACCTAAGTCTTAGATCTCAACACTGAGTTTAGAGAAAGCCTCTCTGATTCCCACTCAGTAACTGAAGGAAAGTGGGGGCCAGAGCATGCTCACCCCAGGCTGTCTCTGAAAGATAGCAACCACAGATGGGCCTTGCTGCCACATAGCAAAGAGAAGGGTCAGAGAGGTGGCAGGACCTTCTCCAGAGAGCAAAGGCCAGAAGTAAACAGAACAGCAGCACCCAGACACCAAGCTTTAAAGATAGAATGACACTATGAACATAGCTATAAACCACTTTCTCTGCTGTAAACCCTGCACTGCCCTGAGGACCAGAGATGGAGAAAGGAGGCAAAAAGGGCTGATGGACCCTTCCTCCTGGAGCTAGAATATGAATAGACCTACCAAAGACAAATATCCTGGCTTTTCAGCTTTTCAGAAATTAACTTAGTGGCTACATATTATTCAGATAATGTCTTTAAATGATGTGGATACTTACAGGGTGATTTTTAAAGTCTTTTTCAGATCTTCAGCACAAGCCCCTGCTAGTTGATCTCACTGTAGAAGAAGGTCAAAGATTAAAGGTTATTTTTGGCTCCCACACCGGTTTCCATGTAATTGATGTTGATTCAGGAAACTCTTATGATATCTACATACCATCTCATGTAAGTTTCCCAAAGCAGACTATAAAGGGCCTTCTGCATGTAAAAGATTTGTTTTGCACATTTTTAGAAGTCATGCTAACCCTTACTAATTAGTAAAGCAGATGGACTTCGGGCCTTCACCAGGAAGACAGAATGCTTTCAACCCAACTTTTCAATTCTGCAGCTATTTCAATGAAATTGGCACATGGGCATTAAAATAGGTTGAAAGTCAAAATCTAGAGCTTGTATGTATAATCATATTAGTATTATTATGTAATGATTATTATAATGTAATTATATTCTTATTACTGTTTTATTATACTATATATTATATCTATATATATAATCTATATATAATAATATACTATATTTAAGTTTTTATAGGTGCTCCACATCTGGGATGATGGGACAAAATAGGTTAATAAGTAAAACATATAAATTTAGCTAATTTTTATTACTTCCTAAAACAGAGTAACATATAAAGAGATTATGTGACATTAATCTACATATTGTTTCTTTGGACTTTATTAAAATGTATTTTAATTTTTCCTTCAGGGCATGGATAAGTTTCCATTTTCAGTTTTGAATGGAAATTGTGTGGGAGAAAAACAATGATCAGATACTAATTTCCTGGAGAAAATCCCTTTTCAGCTAGTTTTAGTTCCTCTTTACACTATACTGCCTCAAGCAGCAGAGCTCAGCCCCTTGCCTTTATCTGAATGGGCTTTGCAGATGGACATGTGAGACAGCTTCTGCAACCTTCAGCTTGCACGTCTGTCAATGGGAATGCCAGAACCTATCCCATAGGGTTATCATCAGCATTAAATTAAAAAATGGATATAACATTCATTCAAATTTGTAGTTCTTTTTTTAAAAAAATATTTTTAGTAGTAGATGGACACAATACCTTGATTTTTTATTTGGTGCTGAGGAGGGAACCCAGTGCCTCACATGTGCTAGGCAAGTGCTCTACCACTGAGCCACAACCCCAGCCCTGTAGTTCTTCTTCTTAACAATATAATATCCCAATTACTCTGCTGATATGCTGCCTAAAACATGACTCCTAGAGGGAACTGCTGCACAGATTCACTCTCTAGAACTGTGCAGTATAAATTATGCATCCTGTGTGTGATCCTCAGGTGACACACAGAAGACACTGTCAGGAGAGTCTGAGGTCTTTTCTGTTGCTGATGGTATGTGAAGAGTTTGGAGACTCTAAAGAAGCACAGTCACAGAAAAAGATTATTTTAGTGCATTGTTGTACACATGCACACACACACACTAGTCATTCATTGCTGCATTACTCTTCACACCTGTGTGCGTGTGCACATAGAGCTCACACTCAGGCTCTCTGTGAGGGCATCACTGTGCTTGTTCCCGATCCCAACGTTCCTATCCATCTATCCATCAAGTACATACTGGGCTGCTGCGACATCCTCAACCAGGGATCACAGCAGCACCACATCTTCTAGGACAGGTCAGTTGACACTTATTTCAATTGTATGTTTTTTGTTTTTTTTAATTAGTGGTAATTCTAATTTTTTTCTAAACAAACCATTAATTTGGATTATTTTGGTATTTCAGCACCCAGATAAACAATCTGAGTCATGTACTCATAGCCTGTCTGGTGGGGACCGTCTTAGCCCCATTACAGCTGCTTCGCCTCATTCAGCTGCCTTGCTTTCTCCTCATCTTTTTGGGAAGCAATTGTTCTAACAGAAAACACATGAATTTCAATACCAGAAACTGATATGTTCAAATGCCAGTTCTCCCACCCAATACTAGCATAGCTTTGGTCAAGTTACCTAACCTTTCTGAGATACAGTCTCCTTATCTGTGAACAAAGATAACTCCCACGGGGATCTGTTCTAAGGGCCAGAGATCGTATATGTAAAGGGTGCCTCACAAATACTAGGTACCCCATCAATACTGTGTTGTTGCTTTTAGGAACAAGTAAATTGGATTTGTTATCTAGCAACTAAGTTTATATTTATCAGGGCATCTGACAGATCTGTGATTAAATTAAGCAAAGAAAATCGTAGAGTGAAAGTTTCCATAAAAGCTTTTTTAAATTGCAAGAGATGAAAATCAAGGTGTTGTCTTATTTTCAAAAAGAATAATGCATGGCTTTTCTTTGTCTTTCAGATTCAGGGCAATATCACTCCTCATGCTATCGTCATCTTGCCTAAAACAGATGGGATGGAAATGCTTGTTTGCTATGAGGATGAGGGGGTGTATGTGAACACCTATGGCCGGATAACTAAGGATGTGGTGCTCCAATGGGGAGAAATGCCCACATCTGTGGGTAGGTTAACCATTCCTTATCTCCTTCAGCAGTTACACCCCCCAAATGAAACGAAAGTCAAGAAATGTGAAACAACCATTTGAGTCCACAAAAAAAAAAAAAAAAAAAAAAATCTGTGAATAACACTTGTAAGACTTACTTTGTCTGTTTATCTCAAGTCGTTTGTCATTTATGTGGTTAAGATGTGAACAGATGCTGTGAGTTATTGCCCATCTAATGTTTTTAATGCAGTTTTGGAAATTCCTTTTGACAGCCTACATTCATTCCAATCAGATAATGGGCTGGGGCGAGAAAGCTATTGAGATCCGGTCAGTGGAAACAGGACATTTGGATGGAGTATTTATGCATAAGCGAGCTCAAAGGTTAAAGTTTCTTTGTGAAAGAAATGATAAGGTAAATCCGTTTCAACATTTGCATTAGTGTTTGCATTTTAAGAGACCACCAGGTACCTGTGAAACCTTCATTCTCCTTTATACTGATCTGAATCACCTCTGTGTTAATCAGTAGTATCTTGAAATGGCATTATCTGGTTTGACTCATGTGAACACTCAAGATATATTACTCACATATCAAAACAAACATCTAGAAATTTCTCATAAGCTCTTATATATAACTTCTGTGGGCTGCGGGCCTTCTGACAACTCAACAGACATCCCCAGATTCTCCTACGCACTTAGAGCAGTTGGCCCATCATCTTCATCTCCCAGTGGGTCAGCTTCACAATTCCCCTCTTAGACTCTTCACAAAGTCACTATCAAAACCTAACCCTACTCTTATATTCACCCTTAAGTGTAAAACATTTGAAATGTATAAATATAAACTTTTGAAAGTTGTCACCCATTCCTTAAGAAATGCACAATCACAAACTCAACTAGTGCCATGTCCTGTGTCATTCCAGCCATGTCTCTTCTGAAATGTCATAGGGGGACTGTTCTCCAGTGGAATTGGCTGTGTCCATGCAGCATGATCAGACGCTTCTGAGGGGTATCCTGCAGCAGTGCTTCTTCTACCGTGCCCTCCCTGTAGAGTAACCCAGTTTTTAGTAGCTAAGCTATATTTGCATTTGTAAATCCCACCTTTGTGGCCATGGCCAACAAAGAGATGCTGCCCCCGTGCAGCAGGCATAAACACCTAGGAAAGAACGGGACAGGTTGGGCTGCTGTATACCTCTTCGTTCACCCTGGGGTTCCCCATTGGCCAGGCTGGTCTTTGTCCAGCCCTGGTGGAATGGGCCTAGACTACATCCCACCCTGGCCAACTTCCCTGGCCTGGTGTGGTCTGGGTGGACAACAGTTATGGGTGGCAAGGATGTACCAGAGACTGAGGAGTATTATTAAAAAAAAAAAAAAAAAAAAAAACAGAGCTAACCTAGTAAGATTCCAACAGCTACCCAGTCTCTGGGATCCCAGGATGAGGAGTGATCTGGGTGTGAACACCCACACTCTGGTTCACTGATGACCCACTCTAACAGGCCTATTTCAAGCCAGGCCCACATCATTAAAAGAAGGCTGGACCACACCAGTGTCTAGACCTGAGGTGGAGAGCCCAGGACACACAGCCTGGAGAGAACAGCAGCCCTTTCCTTCCCTCATTATGGCCTTCCATGGGTTCTCTCTGTCCTTCCCCATTTTGATTCAATGACCCTAAGAGTAGCTTTACTTTCATATGTAGCATTAACTGAATGAAAAGCATTTCCATAGACTTCTTAAGAAGTTGTTGGGAGAGAACATTCTTCTGAAGAAGTTATGGAAATGAAGTAGCAGAGACTTTATACTAGTGATAAAAGCAAAATAAATGCCTTGGACCAAAGTTAGGTGTTGGCTGATGAAGGGCTACGCCACAGCCCCAAATCCTGTTTTCCAAGGGCAGTGGTTCATTTACATTCAGCTCAAGCAAGCAGTAATCCGAATTTTGCTCACTTCTCTCAGTCATTTGATAAAATGATTTAACAGGCTCAGACCTAATGGACTGTGGTTCTACTTATTAATGCCATTATCTGCTCTGGCCACAAATATGCCAGCATCAGCAGAGAAGCTAAGTGTTAACTCCCAAAATGCCACAGTAAAGAAGCATTAAACACTTGACTGTGTTTGACCACAGCCATTGAAATTGCTTGATTTGAAATTTTAAAAATTGGAAATGGAAGTTATATAATAGTAGACCCAAAGTTTGCCCATGACTTTGGGAATTTGAAAGGATCCTCTTCCACCTTAAAGTCTGCCTTCATGTCATTTATGAGGGAGAGAAGGGGAGCCTCTGTGCCTTTCTGAAAATCATCAAAGGACCTGTTGTGTCCTGGGGCCAGAAGTCAGGACTTTTATCCTAGCAGGAAACTCTCTTTTAAAATGTGAGCATTCCAAAAGATGTCACAATGATATCCAGCCCCTGCAGCGTCCCTGGAGGCCAATACCGTAATAGTAGTTGATATCAAACCAGAGTAATAAAGGCAGGTGTGTTTACATAGGCTGCACTGTCTCAGAAGGCACTTTATAAGCACTAGCCATTGAGTCTTAAGAGCTGACACATGGCAGGGATAGGACATGTGAAAGGAAATGGATGGACGGTTGAAGAAAAGAGGGGAAAAAAACATGCAGTCGAACTAACTTGTTTTTAATTTCAAACAGGTATTTTTTGCATCCGTGCGATCTGGAGGAAGTAGCCAAGTGTTTTTCATGACCCTCAACAGAAATTCCATGATGAACTGGTAACAGAAGAGCACTTGGCACTTATCTTCATGGCGTTATTTCTAATGTAAAAGAACATAACTCATGTGGACTTATGCCAGTCTAGAGGCAGAATCAGAAGGCTTGGTCGAACATACCACTTTCCCCTTTTCCTCTCCCTCCACCCCTCCCGATACAGTCCATCTTTCAGTGTTGCAGCCCGGTTGAGAAGGAGAGAAAAAGGTGGCAGGAATGTCCAGGAGATCCCCAAGGATGCTGCGTTGTCCGTGGACAAAGATGGACCATGTGCCCTTCGGAGTTAGGGATAGAAACAGATATTGTGTGCTCTTCTGAGTAAGCTGTGTTATGGTGGCTTTTGAGTTGTTTTTTTTTTTTTTTTTTTTTTTTTGTTTTTTTTTTTACCTTTTTTCTTTACTCCCTTACTTTGTAAGAATGGGGAGAGAATGCTCACTGAGAAAATGAGTCTGTTTTTAATTGTCTGCCTGCTAGCTTTAAGTACACAGTATGTTGTAAAATTTCCGATTTCCAATGGTGAGAGACAGCACAATAAATGTACTTTATCTCCTTTCACTGAAGGCCATCACTGCATAGTGGGGTGATTTAAGAACTCTCTTGCCTTCACCAACCCAAAAGGTTGCTTTTTGATAGCAACTGGCTAATGAGTTTTTAAAAGAGAAGAAAAAATACTAGTTTTCCCCTCTTTTGGGAAATAGATTTTAAATGGCTAAACTACTAGCCTTAGTCTAATAAAATCAACTACCACTTTTGTGAGTCTGACAGGTCATATTTTTATATGGCCCTTTATAGAATGGAGCGTGTTGAATGGGATAGAAATGCCATTGAACAAGTTGGCCTGGCCACTGAGGAGGGGCTGTAATGCACCCTTTCCTCAGCTATTATGCAACAGATCAGGGCAAAAGGGGACAACAGACGGAGTCAGACAGAAAGAGCCTCTGGGAAACAAGCTTATATACGTGTATATGTACACACACACACACACACACACACACACACACGTTGTTTTTTAAATGCACAAAGCGTCCCAGTAAGAGGTCACTTATTTGGGGCTTCATTTGGACTGAGACTTTGTTTTTGTGGGAATTGGGGAGTGGGTGACATCCAGGCTCTGGACATTCCCAGCTCTCTCCTGAGGGTGCCACTTTCTCAAGATGAAAACTGTGACTGAAAAAAAAAAAAAATCAATAACAAATGTTTCTGAGCTGCCAGTGTTCTCCTTAGGTTGGTGAGAGAAGGGAGTAGACTCCTAAGCCTGCCGCAGACAACAGCGGGCATTGTTGGCTCAGATTTTAATGAACTTGAAAGCAAGGCTTTGGCCAAAATTCTGAGACCCTAATCACTTTACCTTCCTCCAAATTACCCAACATACGGTAAACAACATTTGTGCAGAGATATGTATGTATTTAGTTCAGGTTGACTTGTGTCCTTATAAACTCTTACTCAAATGATTTGAACTTTTACGTGACTGTCTGGGATTTTTTTTCCAAAGCTACAAGCATGGCCGCCTGTGGTATCGAGGTGTTGCAAAAAACGATATCTGTGTTGCGCTTCCTGTTTTAACCTACCTCGTTTTGTTTGTTTTTGTTTCACTGTTCATCACAGCAGTGTTATCTCCAGGAGACATATAGAGAGCTCAACTGGCAATCTCAGGAGTATTGACTGTTTTAAAAACGAAACAGTAGTTGACCAAATTGTTCTTTAAAAATTGGGGGGCGGGGAGAGGGGGTCCAATGACAAAAACTAATATGGCTTGTTTTGGGAGAAAGCAATTACTGTGAATGGATCCAAAGAAAAATCTGTGATCCTACTGATTTTGCCTAAATACAAGAGCAGCTGATGTACTATTAATGAGAACGAAATACATTAGAAAACTGGTACCATTTCAATCCTGTGGTTTGGGGCAAGGGGAGAAGGGAGGGGAAATAATCTGATTTCCAAACCAGTTGATTATGCCCCCCTGCCAAAGGTGGTTGTCATTTGCATTTATTTTAAGCATTTAGCACACAGGAATGCAACTGAGGATCATCTTCAGGCAATCACAAGAGGTCCTCATCATGGTCCCTTTAGTTCACAAAAACAATGAATTGCTCCCGTTCTCATTTTTACTGCTGTGATTATGCTGCCGAATAACACTGTCTTCACAAATTCCATGCAACAAATTCAGCAATAACTTTTTGGACTGAACTTAACAACTACTGTAATTGGATGCCGATGTGGACAAAATGCATTGATCTGGTCTCATCCCCAATGTGATTGCCACCAGCTCTTTATATTGCTGCTGTGGTATTTTAAACCAGAGCTTCTTTAAATTATGTTGCAAACTGATCTTTGTTTTTATGTTTTGTTTTGTTTTGATTTCTAAGTGATGAGTTCGAAAACACACAGCTTTAAATGATTTTTTTATTGTGGGTTTTGGGTACAGTTAAGAAATAAAAGGGAATCATTGTGTTTAAACATAAGGTAGTTTGTGAATGTATTTTTTAAAATCTAGATTCATTGAAACAAAAAAAACATAAGAAAACAATATTAATGCAGTCTTGTTTACAGTATGTACAGTGACATGACATAGAACATGAGCTTTTCTGGTGCCAACAACAATAAAACACAAACGTTAAACATCAAGCCATGCCTTTTATATTTTCGTACAAATGTCTTACATTGAGTATAAGGCAAAATCAAATTTAAAAGGGACCCCCATAAATCTCCTTAAAACATAGTTCTGGAATTCCTTGAAAGTTTTATCTTCAAAAAAAGATATTTCCCTATCAGGACAGGACCCAGCCCTGACACATCCAGGCCTCGATCATGCAAATTTTATCAGAATTATGTCCTTGTGGCTCATACCATTCCCGAGTTTTTGGTTTGCTTTATTTTGGAGGGAGGGACGGGTGTTCTCTTCATTCATTTTAATAGCATCTTAATAAAAATGTTTTTAGTTTTGATCTTCATGTAGAACTAGAAATTGGCTCATTTTTTTTCTACAAAATTGGAGAATTGAACTCTCCCTCCCCAAAGTAAGCTTAACTAGATCTCTCAGTCTTCTTCACTGAATTGATCATTATACAGCAAAAAAATCATCCAGCAAAATCCACCAAGCCTGCCCACACCATAGTCTTGGTCCAGGGTCTGGCAGGTGATCCTCGTTTCCAGTTGCTGGTCAGGGGACTTGTTGCATAGGTTCCTGCATCCAGTGGGTAGTAGAAATGGATGAGCTATAAGGCCCCTTCCTAATGGGAGTCAGTCGTGTCCACGACAGTTTCATTCAGATGCTTGTCACTGCACACAATGTAGAGGAAGACAACTTGTACTACGCTGCACATAAAATCTAATGACCGTTTGGATAGATCTCATTATTTTTCTTGGAGACTCAGATAATGCTTCAAGAAGACCCAGAGCTATTCACTTATTGATGACAGGGTAGATTAAGGCATGGGTAAAATCTCTCGAGGCCACCTGGACAGGAGCTCCATTTTTCTAACACTTTTGACATCACTTTCTAAGCTGCATTCATAACACACCTTGCGTCAAGAACACATTTATTAAAAGCATCCTAATATCTGATTGTCAGGAACTACTAACAGTTTTCTGTCTGCTCTTGTGACTCATTGGTAATTGGTGTCTCTGGTCCCTCCTGTGCTATAGATTAGAAAGAGGTGTGATAGTAATGCTGGAGCCATTTTGTTATTATGTGTTGCCCAAGGAGGAAGGGTCAAGTTTGATCTCCCGTTCCAAGAAGTTTAAAAAAAAAAAATGCTAATCCTACTACTATGTGTACCAGGTCCCATCACTGTATCCTTGAAAAGTGGAAGAGCTCTTTGTGTTAGTAGTGTGTGCTGTCTTTGAAAGTCTGCTTGAATAGGCATCACTTGCATTTGTGCTGGTTGCTTTGAAATGTAAGATGTGCTGCATTATTTTTAAGAAGGAATATGAAGTTATTGGTCAAAGCTTAATCTTAACCTATAGCAGGAAAACCTGAGAAAATCCACAACATGCTGATAGCAATTCTGAATCACCCTACCATGCACCTTTCCATGCAAACCATCTGCTACGATGTTCTGACAATTTCAACAATTTGTATAAATTGTTAGCTACTTTTTAGTTCACTCCTCAAATATTTAAATCTAACCAAATCAAACAAAGCATAACCAACCAACCAATCAAGCAAAAACTGGCTTCTCCTGAGACTACATAGTACAACATAAAATCTAAAATCCAAGATTCAAAATTTGATTTACTTTACTTGTCAATATTGTCTCATAAATGCTTCTGTACTTTTGCCTTGGTCAACATAGCAATATCAGGAACTCCAAAATGAGCTGTCTTAAATGAGTCTAAAATAAAATGGTTATAAACTGATCTCTTTTCGGAAGTCTCAACAAAGAAGAGAACCTCTTGAGAATTGCACATTTAAAACTGAAAATATATACATTTCTACCAAATATTTTCTAATACTGTTTTGATTTCCATACTGTATCTTTGTTCTGATAATTTTTCCATAGACATCTAGAATATTCAACAATTTGCAAAGCATTAAACAGTGTGAGATCATAACCTGTGCTTTGAAATTTATTCTCCTAGATGTACCATTCCATGAAGGGCCAGACTGCACCAAATAAAAATCTCCAAATGAATATTTCTTAACAAAAATCCCTGGATAACATTTGAGCTATTTTAAATCCGATCAAAATCTTGGACTCTATATCTGTGATGCCAAACAATTTGGATAAAAACTAGAAAATACTGTTAAAAATAAAACTGTCCTAAAGTTTCCAGATTGTTGGCTTTGGGTAGTTCTCCTCAAGCTAACTCACTCTTGGCATAAGAGGGTGTGGTTTTAATGGTTTATTTTTATCAGCATCAAGTTACATTGCATTATTGAAGTCAAGCAAATGCAGGTGGAAAGGTGAGTTTTCATTTCTAGCAATGGATCATTATTTGTATATAGCAAATGTCCATGTCCCAATTGCCCATTACCATTCTCTCTTCCCTTGGGGCAAATGTTAAGGAATAGTAATACATACCATGGCTTAGGAAAGCCCAGGTATTATCCGGAATCAGAATTTCAAATGTTAGGTAGCAGCATGGAAAAATAGAGATGACAGCCAGGAAGAACTTTTAAAATGAATGTTGTAAAACTGTTTTTGTGCATTTCAGTTGTCTTACTTTTACTGTTAGCGTAACTGCAGAAAGATGCTAAATTTATAATATTAGAATGGGAAACTCATTTTGCTGTGCCAGTGATTAGTTATATCTTTTCAATCTCCAGGTTTCAAAAGTGTTTTAAATTGTCAAAAACCACTGAGATTAAATATTGTCATACCTATGTATCTTCCTGGCATATTTTCTAATCTGAAACTTTTAGTTATTTTCCAGTGTTTTTTCCCACTGCATACAAAAATTCTTTAGGATGTACTTTACACAGCTGTTCCAAGCAGTAGCTAGAAATGCTTTTGTAAGTTCTAAGCCAAGGCTTTGTCATACCCTGTCCTCGAATATATTATTTTATGCTATCTCTATCAAAATATAAATACTGAAACATTAATAATAGTAGGACACCTTTGTTCTTGGAGATTTTAGTATCAATTTAGACAATTCTACAAAGATCTTGGCTTCTTAATTTCCTTATCTTGATCAATGAATTTATCATTATTGATTACTAATTAAGTGATAGTGAGCATCTCTTCCTATTGGCTCCAGGTATGTTCTATCCAAACTCTCAAAATAAAGGCCATTATCTTATGATATCCTTCTGTCTCTTGCATCAACAATATTTCCAATTTTCCTGCAAGACTTTGCTGCACTCATGCTGTGGTCTCTCCTGTGTTATAAACACCCATCTCCTCTAATCCACCCATCTTACTTGTCTGTACCCCTTGACAAAAAAAAAAAAAAAAAAAACCTCCCTAGGAAGAATTGTGCATGCTCACTGTCTAAATTTGACCCTTTCCTTGGTCTTCTGAACAACTCAAATCAGTCTTTCATTACCACTGCAGTAGCTGTTGCTAAGGACACCAGTGATCTCCCACACAAATGCAGTGGTCAAGTTGACTGGCTTCATGCTGCTTAATTTATTTGTGGTGTTTGACACAATGAATAATTACTTCCTTCTTGAAATACTTTCTTGGCCCAAGGACATCCTTCTTAAGTTCCCTTACCACTCTTTAGTGGATTCTTGGCATAACCCAGTACTAGATATGCCATCTTTTTCAGTCTTGGAACTTTCAAAAAACATATGCACTGACAAAACCATTTTTATCTCCAGCCCCAGGTTAGACATAAAAGAATGCCCGGATTTATGTCTAACTTCCTAGTTAGCATCTTCATTTGGATGTTTAACAGCATCTCAAAGTTGACATGTCCAAAACTAAGAATTTGCTCCTATCCATCAATATATAGCCCCTACAATCTTCCCTGTGTTAGCAAATGGCTTCTCCATTTTTCCACTCCATAAAATCTTATTGTAACCCTTACATTTTCTCTTTCATATACCATACCTAATCCATTTTTTTAAATATTTATTTTTTAGTTGTAGTTGGACACAAAACCTTTATTGTATTTATTTTTATGTGGTGCTGAGGATTCAACCCAGGGCCTTGCAGGTGCTAGGCAAGCACTCTACCATTGAGCCCCAACCCCAGCCCACCTAATCCATTTTATAAAAATCAGTTTTTCTTAGCTTCAGAATGTATTCATAGTCCAGTCTGAGTCCAAGCCACTTTTTGTCTGACATCATGCTTTTAAAACATAGGCCAAGGTGTGTCCACTATTGGCCAAGTCCCTCAATACCGCCCCATCTTCTCCACAACATTATCTTCCTCCCAGGGCTGATAAGGCCATAGAGGTAATCTGCCATATCTTTTGTACCTCCCTATCCACATCCACCACTCCCCCTGACTCAGGGTCTATGCCCTTGCTGTCATCCAGTCTGGAAATCTCTTCCGTCCACATGTCTGTATGACTTGCTCCTTCCTTTCCTTCAGGTCTGTGCACAAATCTTGCTTTCCTCTCAGAGACCTAAATAAAATCACCTCCAGCCACCACCATACCAGTCATTTTCTGCTTCACTACCTCTCTGGCTATCTCCAGTACTTTAAAGAATCCCTGACAAGTAGCAGTCACTCAGTAAGTATCTGTTGGATGAAAAACTGAATGAAAATTTTAAATGTCATTTCGGGATTTAAAAGCTATTTAATTTCAATGTTGAACAAAAAAAAAAAAACTGTCTCCAAAAATTTATCAGAAAAGTGTTTTCTTTCATGTAGAAAATAGAAAACCCTCTAGACTTTCTTTCCTGGAAGGCTATTGTAGATGGAAGGCACCTGACTCTGACCCCGTCTGTACTTTACAGCTCCATGAATCGTCTTTACAGACCAAGTGGCAGAGTTGGAAGAGAGGCTGTTATATAGAATCTGGAGAAAAGAGGCATTTCAAAACCCTTAGATGTATACAGATAATGATCCATTTTAAGCTATTGTCATTGCACTAAGTGCAGTTTGGGGATGTGGGGAGAGATTCTGAATTTTGTTTTCTGATCTAAATGTTTAAAAACCACAACAATTTTCCCCCAAGAAGAAGTAGTAAACAATAGTAAAATTATTCCTCCTCAAAAAAAGCCTAATGACATTTTGGGTCTTAATCTTCCAAATGACCATGGTTCTGAGGCCTCTCTGGGTGGCCTCTAACATCTGTATATATTCAGCTTCACTGAATGTTGTTGCATGAAGTTTCATTGTAGGAAATTGACACATGCCTTCTGATGAATTAATTTATTGTTTCACTCAGTCTTGTAAAGGGCACACCTTGTAGTTTCAATTTGTTCAATCATGTATTTTCCTGCTCATTTAATAAAAGGAATATTTTAAAAAATAAAGAAAGAAGATAGTAAAATGATGTAATATGAAGCAGTATATGACAGTGAAAGAATTTTTTTGTTCCTCTATTATTTTCTGTGTCTTTTCACAAATCTGTTGAGTTGAAGGATAATATATAATTCCTTCTAAAAAGCCAAGGTCAAGGTCTTAATCAATCTTTTCCAGGACCAAAACCATTTTGTGGTTCCATGGTGCTTAGTTGAACATTCCTGAAATCTTTTAAGGCATTAGTCCCAGGTGCAGATGGAGAATGTGAAACAGAGGCTAAGAAATGCACAAAGTGTCAGTGACAGTCCTTGTGGACAATCACTCAAGTTGTTATGATACAATAAATGTTTTCAAAATGAGTTCAATAATTTACATGAAAAGAGTATTTTAGAGTGTTGGTTTTCTTTTTCATTATATTTCACCAGCTTGAACACATATTTTTGTAGTTTCATAAGCAACTATGTCCATGTTTTGTGACAGTAACAACTTGATATAAGGTCACTGCCTGCAAAAAAAAAAAAAAAAATCATGGTTTCCAAAATTCAAAGTTAACTTGCCAAGTGATGGCAGAAGTACCAAGAGCAGCAACACCATGGTCTGAAACATTTTTCAGCCCTGCATCTGGTTTCATGATTCCAGATTATCTTTTATTTTTAATCCATCCAATAAAAGAGGGATTTAGAGCTAGAAGCCATCACTCATGCAGAAATAAAACAGAATAACTATTCACGATTGGACACCAATCAATCAGTGCAGGCCAAAGTCATCACCAGTCAAGGCAAAATAACCACAAAGGACAACACTGTGAGCTATTAAGCTCGCCAGGGATGAGCTTATGCTACTGTAAAGATGCATTTGAGCCCTGGGTTCTGGCCCCAGCACCACCACCACCTCCCCAAATAAACAGGCATTTGAGAGCTGACTGTGATAAGGCAGTAGCTGTCAGTAGCTGTTCATTTTATTAAATGTTCTGGTTTGGCAAAATTAAAAGTTGGAAGCCTTTTTGTTGATCTTCACAAGATTTGGGGTTTGGTGGAGGAGGCGTCAGTTATGTTTTTTAAATTTTCCTAACCAATGGGGCAGGGGATGTGGCAACTGTTGTAGATTACTTGTAAAGTTCTAGACATTTCTTCAATATTAAAATATACTGCCCATGTCCAAAATCAATGGGGTAAATATAAATATAAAAAAATCAACAGCATCACCCATTACTCTACTGGTGTCCAAGATTTAGGCTTATGTTGTTGGCTTCCACAAAGTAAGTGGTAACTAACCCCATGTGGCATTCCAGAAACTTCTACAGGCTGTAGTGCCAACCTAGAGGGAGCATGCTGTGAGACATAAGACGCCACAAAGCTCAAAATTTATCAGCTAACTGCATCCGGGTCATCTTATTAGCCCAAGAAAGATTGGCTCCCAATATTTTAAATTATAATTAGTTCCCATCACAACTACTTCAGCAATTTAAAAGCAAGAGAAAGTTCAGTGACACTTTTCAGTGAAACTCAAAATATTTTTAAAAGCCACATTCATTTGAAAAACAATGCTTCTACATGAGTCACTTATCTACAGACAATGCCTAATCTACACAGTGATTGCTGGACCCCTTACTATATATAACTCTGAAACTCCCAGCCCCGTTGAGGTTCTAACCCAGAGTTTGGAAAATAAAATTATGCATTTTCCCTAAAA